AACAATACTTCCAGATGTATGATATCTTATATATTATTGTGCAATCACAGCTTGTATCCAGGCAATGAAGAAAAGATTCAAACAGTAATCCAAAAACAAAAAAAAAAACACAAAATGATGACAGAGAGTACATCAGCCACGACGGTGACGCTTTGACCTGGTGGGTTTGACCTCTGCTACAACTTCTTCTACATCTTCAGCCCCACTTTCTTCGACGGGCACATCTTCCACGATAGCCCAACCTTTCCATTTTCCTTTGTTTGGTTTAGATGCTTCTGAACAAAAACATCAGTCAGCAATTAAGATTTTGTAAATCATATATGGATCAAGGTATATACCTTGTTTTCCTTTCGTGTCCGGTTCATCCTTGACCTCCATTCGGGTTTTGGTACGCGTGGTTCTTGAGGCCACTACAGGCGGTGGTTTTTCCATTGCCTCTAGCACAACCTTCCCGTCGGGTTGTGATTTTCCCTTGCGCTTCCTGGGTGACACTATATCACAGATAACAGATTAGTATCTTATATAAAACATTGTATAAGATAAAACATTATAAATATAAATATTAAAACTCACATGGTACCGGTTTAGACTTCTTATCTGCTGCTTCTGTGAGCAAAACTTCCTCTTCAACTTCAACCTCCGTATGTTGTCCCAATGTGACGGCCGCCACTCTGGGAGCAAGAATGCTCTCCACACTAGCCTTTGCCTCCTTTCCTGCGGCCTTTGCATCGCCTTCGGTTTCATGATCTTGAGGCAGGCCCCCGCCAAATGGAAATGTCGAAGTTGGCATTGAAAAGGGAATGTTGGAGGCTTTTTTTGGAAAAAGTTTGACGAGATCGCGAATTGCAGAAGAGATTTGATCAATCTCTTCTGCCTGAGGCATGCGAGAGTAGAACAGCCAGGAGGTATCGGGAGAGCAACCGCCAATGGTGGAGACATCCGCCGATTCCAGCTGGGCTATTCCGCTGTTTTCACGTTTGTCATAAAGCCAAACCCCGAGGATGCCATCAATAGCTCGTACGACCCGTCCCCAGTAATGGTAGTTTGCCCAATAGCCTCGAGATACCAAGAAGTACTCCACCGCGCCCACTTTGATACGTGCAGGCCAGTTGGTCTCACCTTGGTAGCGTTCGCGTTCGGAATCAGTAAGTCCCACAATTCCATCCATATGAAAGTATAGATGTAGCGGCGCGGTTTTGGCGTCGGTAATTACAATCTTGAAGTTGTTATGAACAAATGAAGGGTTTGCCACTGGGGTGACATCCTTGCCCTTCCCAGTAGCTTTGGGATGGCACTGAGTACATAAGACTCCTTCAGAGGTCAGTCCATCAGTCATCCATGTCGATAACAATAGGGGAACATCGGAGTAAGCTAATGAATGCTTGTCGAACATCGATGGCAGCAGGCGAAGAATAGCACGTTGTTGAGGTATCACGCTTGTATGATCTGAATTCCGAAGACACATAACTGTCTTAATCATCGAGTGTTCAAATAGCGGTCCCAGAGACGAATTTCGGTCCTTCACTGGTTCTAACAATAACTCCATAAACCCGTCAGCCGACGCAAAAACATCGTTGGCGTAAGAGTTGGACCTTTCTTGAACAGCTTCGTGAAGCAAGGTTTGCCACCTCGTCATGCTTCCCGTAAAGTTAGCCCCGGTGATTTCGAAGTTACATCGCGTGGTGAAGTGTCTTGCTAGCACGTTTCCTAAGTTGGTACTGTTCACCGTAAGGTATTTAGTCCAACATGGATTAAAAAGCGCATAGAGGGTTTCTAGAGTCGAAGTTTGCCAGCAACGATTCCGGGTTCCTTTCTTACTTCCGACTTTGTAAGACTGATAGGTGGTGAGTGAATTTCGGTTGATGTTCTGGGAGCCCACAGGTCGTCCTAATTTCGCAGGTGCCTTGTAAACCTTTTCTTTTTTTCCAAGTAGAGCGTCGGAGGTATCGGGTGCACGGCCATCGTTACGTGTGAACTTGCGTTTGGTGGGAGGTGGCATGCCTAAAGCCTTCACCACCTCTTGCCAGGTGTCCTGCGAGGTGCCACCTTATCGAAATGCCTTTTTTGACTTGCTGGAAATCCTTTTCCATGCATTGGGCAAAGGCGCAAAGTTGAATGATGCCGGCTATAATCGAGCATCTCCCTTTGCTGAAGGTGATTGTAGCAGAAGAATGAACTTGATCAGTAAGTAAAATGACACTGATAGGAATTAAAATGTGTACTGACCACAGTATGTAATACACTTGATGCATACTTTCCTGTCCATTCGTAGTCGAAGGCAGGTCCGCACGTCTTCGAGGTGCGACGACGTTGACATCATCATCGTCGCTGTTGTCGCCGGGCAAGGGAGGGTCGTCGAGAGGTTTGCGCTTTCGCGCGGGGAAAAGCATAGCTTGAACATCAGCGGTTTCCCACCAATCTAGCCATCGCTTTGCTAGAGGGAAAAGGCGTCGCAACTCTTCAAATCGGGAGTCCAGGTCTTCGATGCCAGGTCCGTCAGGGAGAAGCAAAGCTTTGCATTTTTTCTCCCAAGTTACCTGCCGCAAAAAGAATAACAACACAAATGAGTTAAATGAGTTATGTGAAATCAAATGAAATATGAAAATTTTGATTGACTTACCGCCTGTTTGGCCTTCACAATCTTCTGATTCTTCTGAATTCGGGTAATAGCCTGATAAAAATGCCATTCGCATCCGTGCAACTTCGACAGTGCCACATCCTTGTCGTGGCAATTAAACACTTCCATATATGCGTCCTGAAATCCCACTTTCTGCGCCAAAGAGAAATCAACTACTTGTTCTACCATCATCCCTTTGCTCTTCTCGGACAAGGTTGTTTTTTGAATCTGCTGAAGTAAATTCTTAAAATGAACTTTGTAATGTTCAGCGGTGAGGCCATTAAGCCAAGAGAATAAGACAGGAACCCAGCGCTTGATGGTTTCACAGTATTTCAAAGTAGTTAATAGATAACCAATCTTGAAAAATCTATAAGTTATGTCGGAGAGAAGTCCTCTGGTATAAGTGTCTGATTTTTCGTCGGGTTCAACTAGTACTTCCGCCATCCAACCAGTTTGGAACGTTATGTGTGCATCTGGGCCGGCCACAGACGACGAAACCACCTTGAGGCCTTTCCTGGTTAGATAGATAGATACATATATACTTATCTATCAGTAGGGTGTTCTTTTGGGCGTAGGAGGTGTTATGGAACAAACCTTTCCCAATCCATAAATGTGCATAGCCATTTATCGCCGGCTTCAGGATCGCGGGTGTCAGTCATTATACCGGCCTCGACAAGATACATTTGACGCAAATACCCTAGACGATCGGCGTTTCCAAATGACGAATGAATATCGGTGACTGAATGGACTGGGTCATTGCCCAAATGCGCCAGTCCAACCTAAATGTGTGATCAGATGAGACTGGTCAGCATTGAGAATATTCACGCAGAAGGTCATAATTGACTGACCTTCAGGCCTAAAGGTCCGGTCTTGGTGTCATTAATGACCCTTTCCTTCAACTTTTCTTTCGAGATAGGATCGGCCTTTTTGGACTCCGGCCAATCATGTTGGTGAGTCCCTTGATGACGCAGTAGGCCCCACTGTTTGTTTCCGTCCGCGTCTAATTCGGTATCAACTCGGCATTTAGCGTCACATTCAATGTGTACTTGGTAGCCATCGCAAGCGGAGATAGGACAGTTTTTTCTGTGGAGGTATATCGAAGGAAATCATGAAAGAAAAAAAAAGAACACAAGTATTAACACAATGTTGAAGAAACCGAAAAAAGGTGTGCAACCAGGTGCTGACCCTTCCGCCCCTTCGGTGATCTTTCTGGCTCCAGTTGGAGGGGAAGCTGCCAAAGGACAGGTCGCCTCGGAGCATTTAATGACCCCCAAGCAGTAGTACCGACGAGTAGTCCAGGTTTTCTTCTTTGTAGTTTCCGATTTCATGGTTTGAGTCCATGCAATGAAACGGAAATTCAACGCCGGGGAATCAGGGTCATTGACATAGACCGTGTCCCCATTTGGGTAGACAGGATACTCCTCTTCGTCGAGTTCGCATCCATGATCAATGAAGGTTCTATATAGAGATTTATCAGTTGATAGATGAAGATTAGGACGGCGTGGTTTGTTTTCCGTGATATCAGCTGGGAGAACTTGGCTTTCGATGGGAGAGGATGTGATCTCAATCATTTTGAACTGAGGTAATAACAGAGATGGTGATAAATCGAGTGATATACTCGATTGAGACAAGGAAGATGAGGTACTATATGTGGATTCAACTTCACAATCTGAGCTGGATGAAGTAAAAACAAAAGAACTCGAATCAAACTGATTTTCGGAAGAGATAATTTCTCCCTTGTAACTGGTGCAGACTGCTTTGCGAGAATCATAGCGCGACGTGGACATTGGTTCATCTGGAGATGGAGACACATTGCCTTCATTGGCAATGCCACCATCATAGCGTGATGTGGCATGTCCCATGGTTGAATTAAAATGATTCTAGGGGACGCCTCATGAGAGCTCAAAAGAGATGATGGACTCGAAAGAATCAAAAATGCGAAAATGAGAATGGGGGAGAGACAGTTGAAGAAAGGAAATGGTGAAGGTGGATCCCTCTTTGGGAAAGATGGCGGCAAGTATGGCGAAATATATCGTAAAGTTGTTCGATATTGGAACAACTTTACGCTGCAATCATCCACCCTCTGGTATCATCACGGATATGTGGGTAAAAGGTGGTTTCTTGATATCTCGGTTAGTGCATGTTTGGTTGAGGTTATGCAAGGGTTCAACTGATATAAATGATTGTTTTCGGCACATGGGAATGTACGTCCATGGTTTGAAAGGTGTGGTACGTGTCCGGTGTACGGTATCGATATGGAGTGGTGTAAAATTATAGATTGGTATTGAGTTTCGGAAATTCACACAGCGCGCTTTTGCACCGGAAAGGGTCTGTGTTACCCGTCCCGGTGCAAATTTCAAAGCCCCGCGGGGGTCCCGTAATTTTACACTGTAACTTTTTACACAGTGACTTCCTGTGTAAAAATCACAGTGTAAAATTACATGTTACGTCTGGTTGCCGTACTTTTGCACTGTCTTTTTTACACAGTGCTACTGTACACAGCCCAGGAAAAATGGAAAACTGTGTAAAATTCGAAAACACAGCCCGTTTTTTGAATTTTACACAGAAACCGTTACACCGCCCGACCCGGTGTAAAATGACCCCTGTGTAAAATTCTCCTACCCCGTATTGTAAATGCTCATATTGGTGATAATGCGTTTGGATGGTTTGCATTTAGCGAAATGCTCCATATTTTCAGCAATATGCTTACTCGACATTTTTAAAGCATTTGTAGTCCTTGAACTTATCGGCATCATAGACATCTTCGATTGTATATAAATTATCGTGTTCAAGCATGCCCAACCCTTTCCACATCACATTATCCGCCTCCCTTCAAGTACTCCCAACCACTTTCAAATCACACTATTCACATCACCTACAACCCTCAACAAACCTTTGATCACAACTTGCCTTCTCAATTACTTTTTACCTGTTTTTCAACTTCCTGTCCACACCACACCATCAACAAACACCATGAAGTTAAAGTTGAGAGTGAACCATCCAACTGCTCCAGGAAGTGTCCCCAACAATGGGAGTCTACTACGTAGAGATTATGAACGTTTGCAACTGCTTGGGCGCGGTGGTTTCTCTCAGGTTTACAAAGCTAGATCGAGATCCAACAAGAATATATATGCGATCAAGGTAATCTCACGCAAGGATGAGAATTCTTCCAGTCAAGACGCAATCATTATGAATGAGATCAACATTCTTAAAGATATCAAACATCCCTTAATCGTAGGCTTTCACGGATTTTACCGCACTTGTACTGACTTCCACATTGTCCTTGGATACGCTCCTCGTGGGGATATTAGGGATTGATTGCCCATCTCTGAGACTCAAGCCAAACTCTATAGTATTGATGTAGCAAGAGCCATCGCATACCTTCACCAAAACCACATCATTCACGCAGACATCAAACTCGAGAACGCCTTGATCACTTTGGACAACCGGATCGTAATCTCTGACTTTGGACTCGCCGTTAGAGCTTACTCTAGACAGGTCGCTCAGGTAGGTGGAACCCCGCACGCAAGAGCCCCAGAAGTCCTTAGTGGACTCGTCTGCACTCCGGCACTTGATTGGTGGGGTCTTGGTGTGATGCTATTCGAGATGGTTACGCATCGGCTACCTTTTGACTCATGTAAGTCTTTTCTTTCTCAATCTCCCTTCACTTGAGACTTTCTCTTGACTAACATATATCCTTTGATACCTAACAGCCACTGATGCAGGCTTGCGTACAGCAATTCTAGAAGCGGATCCCAACATGCCTGAGGATTTCCGTTCACTTGTTCGTTGGTTCTTTCAAAAAGATCCCTTTTATCGATTATCTTCTTTAGATTTTTTCTTGGCTCATGATTACCTCAGTGATGTTATTCCTTCGACAGATCTATCAAGCGGATCTTCAACGACTCAATCTGAAAATTAAATGGTATGTTTCCATTTACTCTCTCATACATTTGTCTTTCTTTATCCTTTGATTCGCTGACTTTATTCTTGGTTTCTTGATGTTGCTTCTCCACAGGATATGTCTCAGTGAAGAAAAGTATTTGTGACATTGACAAGTATGTATCCTCACATCATCTTTTTTTCATCAATTTCTTTGCCGTATTCCCTGTTCATAGCTCTCGCACTCTACATTATCATTTTCATTTCTTTATTTTATTTGGGTTTATCTTGGGCTTCTTTTTTCCGTAGTATTAAGGCAGTTAGATATTTATCACCCACTTCGGTAACGCATATGTAACATATGCGACCGAATATGTACCACCAAAAAAACATACTGAATTTCGGTTGTATATATGACCCGGAAAACCGATTCGGTAAACCAAAGTACAACAAAAGTCGGATACATATTTTTCCATATATATCTAAAAATCATCGATATTCTCCAAAACGACTTTTCGTCGTTTTTTTTATGAATCTTCAACAGATATCTTTTTGATATCTTTCATCTCAAAGTACCGATTTGTCTTTTTTTGTACTTCACCGAAAAAAATCAAAGTTTTTTCTTTCTTTTTCTCTCATCACAAACAACTTCAACGATTCAACACCTCAAGTTCAAAAAATCCAATCACAAATCTGGTCAACTCATCTTTATCTTCCCTTTCATCAAAGCTCAAAGTCGACTTCAAGCTGTCCTTCAAGCCACTTTCAACTTAAAAATCTTCTCTCGATTGTTATTCAATTAGTTATTTGATTGATTTATTACGTTTTCCTTTTCAACATCGACATGCCGGCGTCAACCAATGTGTCACAATCGGTTGAAGACAGTCCAATTGTTTCAACACCATCATCCAAGTGTGAATGGACTAGCGATCAAGAATCCAAAATGATTGAACATCTTATAAAAACTCATAGGAATAATAAAAGCAACAAAGGCTTTTCTAAAGCGACTTGGGCATTAATTGCAACTGAATTGAAGGGGACTGAAGGCGCGACTAAAAAAAAGACTGGTGAGATGGTACATGGTCATTATAATGTGGTCAGTCTTTTGCTTTTGTCTCTTTCTTTCTACTGTATGCTAATTGTCTTTTCATTTCAAATCAAGCTTAACAAACGATACAAAGATGCGAGCGATTTGTTGAAGAAAAGCGGTGCCGGATGGAACCCCGAAACGAATATGGTCGAGCTCAGTTCCGAAATCTGGAACGAGATGGCCAAAGTACCAGTATGTCCATTCATTCTTATCTTCATGCCTTCAATCACTTATCATTTCTTTCTCATCCCAGTCAGGAACTAACAAGCGTTTAGGTTGGTTCAGAAGGAACCCCTTCCCGCTTTATGAATCAGTTGGTGTGCTCGTCGATCCTGGGATGGCCAAGGGAACTGGGAAGGTCAATTCTTTTGCTCCTGCCGAGGAAGCTGATGGAGAAGGTGAAAAAGATAAGGATGATGATACTTCAAGTGGCAAATCAATGAGCCGTGATGGGAGTCAACATGGGAGTTTAGATGAATCTCGACTTCAGCGTGCTATTGAATCCGAAGAAGAAACACCAGCACCTGCTAGCGTTCGTTCTGGAAACAAATTCATGAAAGGAAGAAGATTCAAACATAACCGATCACCAGAAGCTGAAGAAGTGCCTTCAAAAGGCAAAGCTCAAAAGCCTTTCGAAAGGAAACAGCGCAAGACTGCTGCTCAAGCTGGAGACGATTTTATAGATGGAATTGGCTCAATCTCAGATAAATTCATTACTCACATGGCAAATGATACTAGCACTTTAGCCTCTGGAAGCTCGACTCAACCTTACGGCTTTCTCACCACTGCTACTCGGGGATTACGCAAGCTCGGTTTAAGTCAAGATGAACTCTATAAATCAATGGAATTGTTAAAGAAAGATGTCGATTATGCGAAGATGTTTGTTGGTCTTGAAGAAAAAGATCTACAACTCGGTTGGATCAGAGGGAAGTTGGCAGGTAATTAAAAACAAATGTATTTAATTCAGTTACAATTTTTTTTCAAAGTTTATCTTCCTTTGTTCTACCAACTATACTTGTAATTTAAGAAGAAGGTCCATCTTAACAATTTCCTAAAGGTTTTGTGATACAAGTACATCTTTATTGATTATATAAAAATACTAAAACATGCAAATATTACATCTTTATCAAGTTTCTAAAAAAACTAAAAGATGAGTGTGTGATTAATTATGATAATAAATTGTTAATAAGTGAGATTGAAGGTTTTATGGTAAGCTTGTAGATGGAAAAATCGAAAAACAAATGAGTAATATAATTCACATTCCACGAGCATCTCGTTGTTGGCGATAATTTCTCCACATCGCTTTAGCGATTTTCGTTCTCAACTTTCCTGCTTCGGATGACTCTTCAGCAGTGTTCCCAACAGCGTGTAACTCCTCTTGATTGACTCGAGGTTGATAGTTTTCATCAAATTCCCCATTAAATTGTTCATCATTGCTATCGACTGTTCTGATAAAGTTATGTATAAAAGCCATTAGGAGTATCAATCTTGCTTGAATTAAGATGGGATAATGTGACCCTTCTCCCATCACTTTAAACCTTTGCTTCGTTACGCCAAATATTCTTTCAATATAATTTCTTAAAGAAGCATGTCTTTTGTTATACAATTCCTGATAAGTTCGAGGTCTGTAGAGTAAGAAAACATTAGTTTTGGCTAAGCAATAAAACATAAAGAACGCACTCAGAATTATTGCCAGAAAATTCTCGAAGATGGTATCGCACCCCTCGAAAAGGGGTTTGACACGTTAGACTCAACGCAAATCCAGCATCGCCCAGTACATACTTACCAGCTGGAATGGTAAGGTTACTTTCGCGTGCATCATCCCACAGTTTACTATCCGCCACACTACCTTCCCAGCCGGCCAGAATGTAAGTAAAACATAAGCTGAAATTACAAGCAGCTAATACATTCTGAGTTATGTTTCCTTTTCGATTGAAATAAGGCTTGGCGTCTAGTGGCGATACATGAACTGGCATGTGAGTCCCGTCAACTGCACCGACGCAGTTCTTGAAGTAAGGATACCAATCGGGATTATTACGAATTGATGCTGACATTGGAGTATCTTGTTGAGGCAGGACAATGTATGAATGGATCAATTGAGTATTGGTGGTAATGTCTCTAGTTAAATTGTTGATAATCCTATAAACACGTAATCATCAGCCTATGAAAAGATAATCAAAGAGACATGCTTGATTTACTTGGAAACTGTATCAGCAGACCTTTGAAAGCGCTGGTTGAGCTTGGTGTTTGAGAGTCCGGTGATGAGAAAGTAAATTAAAATAGCTAATTGCTCGGTGCTAGTAACATATCTGGAATCGGAAAGTGATCCAGATTCCTCAAGCCGTCCTCTCAATTCAACAAAGACAGTCTTTTTCATTCCCATATTTTCATAAAAGACCTTCTCGTGCCCACTTAGTAATTCATCAATCCACATCTGGCCAGAAAGGATCGATCTGATCCTTGGATTTCTGATTATGGTGGGCTTCAAGATTCTGCTGTAGTAGAATCTAGCCGATTCTATCAAGATTATGTGGTGAAAACATATGGCTTGGCGGCGTCGATGTCTCCAGCGTTGAAGAGCTTGATGATGATACATATTAAAATTATGGAATGGATTTGGATTTATTTCACTACTTTCAAAGGATTATGAAAGAAAGGAAGAGGGTACAATTGGAGACTATTGATCTCAATGACCTCGGTGACCTGTTTACCGAATGACAAGATGTCCTGATGATCCCTTGATATGATCATCATATCACTTTTGATTCGGTTACCGAAGGCTTTCAAGGATCACAGCTTTACATATACATACACGTTGAGAATATTTCTCACCGTGATGTAAAAATCATATATGTAACTTTTTTCGGGTTTTGTTACCGAAGTGGGTGTATAATATGTTTATTAGGGGGTTTCAAGTCAGAATTTTTTTGTGAAACTTTTTAAAAAACGGACAAGTTTTTTAGATTTTACAGTGGGTTTTTTTTCTGCAAATATACGGTCAACACCATTCGGGACACCTAAAAAGGTGTCCCAATTTTTTTAAATTTACGGTATATTTTGCAACATCGGACAACTTGTTGGACTGTAAAATACCGTAAATTTATTGACTTGAAACCCCCTATTGTGTTGCCTTTTTTCGAAATTTAATTTATGTTCATTTTAAATTCCAGTGCCAATTGAAGCTCAGAAGTGAATATTCAACTTACTTTTGGCTCAAGAGACGCTTCCAGATGTTCAACAATTGCGAGGCCCCCAATATTAGTTCTTTGCGCACTTGCATTCAAACCAGCTGATCCAAACAAAGACTTATTATCGACATCAAAGAAGAAGAAACAGCCAGTCTCGTCCACTGAGATACAACGGTCCAAGTAACTCACATCTGTCAAAAGTGATCGTGTGCTGATGCTTGCTGATGGTATTGTCATCCGCCACGAATTCAATGAACCAATCACACCGAGCTTTTCTCAAATTAACTGTAGAGGATGATGTTTGCGTCTTTTCCAGTCTTTGAACACGGTGTCTTTGAAACAAGAGTCATTGATCATATATGCTGAGCTCTTTGTGTACCTCTCAGGCTTGGACAAATGTAGCACCTTACACCGCCAGACACAAACATACAAACTCAACCTCCAAACAAAACGCGAGAGTTTTCTTATGGGAGGAAACTGTTCCCTGTCATTTATCAGACACAAACGATGTGGCACTTTTAAGTCATTATGTCTGATAGCTACTTTTGTGATTTGACTTTTCCCATTTTAATCTTCTGATAAGTCGCCAAAAGCACGAGTTTGTTTGAGATGGACATTGAAGGCTACTATGTTGTCAGAACAACGCTTCACCAAGGTACGACACCCCGCTTTGGTCCATGACCAAGCCCTCAAAACGCCTCTTCGACATCTCAAGACAGAGGGAAAAACCTTGATATCTTGTGGCTCATGGATTAGTTCGTATGTACTGAACAGACTTTCCAAGGTTGTAAAGGTAAGATTATGTCGGAGAATGTGTCACATAGCAGTACAGTGACGAGGATAATTAGATCGTATAACTAAAGCACAAACAACAAGCGGTTTTTTCGACTTCAAGACAGCAGAGAAAAATCCCAAAGTTAGTATTGAGAAATCCAAAACTCGACTACCCAACACAAATCTACAACTTACCAAAAGAAAATAATAAATCACTCAGTTGTTGCACTAGGCGCACCAAGAGCTTCTTCACGAGCTTTACGTTCCTTACGACGTTTGACATCCCAATTATAAACTCTTGCAACATTAACTTGACTAGTAGTTAGTTGGTTGCGTAAAAAGGCGTGTTCTTCAACTGTCTGTGCTAGTCTAACTTTTGCCGCTTCAATCTTTTCTGATAACAATTCACGAGCTTCGGCAAGTGGATAAGCCATCATGGTATTAGCCTGTTTTCAATGATCAAAAGTATGTTAGAGTTTGAGTTTATGTAGTAAAGCTTATTGAATACTTACACCTAGCCATAGATAAACTTCTTCGACTGGTTCGATTACTGCACTCGTGTAAAGTGTATCAGCTAATTCGAAATGAGTTTCTAAAACTTCTTCAGCATCCTACCAAAAAAAGAAACCCCCATCATTCAGTATTTTTTTTTCCATTCATTTATTTATTAAAACCAAAGATGACCTACTTTTTTAGTTTGTAAAACTTCTACTGTTTCTAAGGTAGATTCAAGTTCAGGAATCTTTTGTTCTAAATCAAGTTTTTTCTTTACCGTACTTTTTTCCATAAATTGATACTTCCTAATAAGACCAATCTTTAGAACCCAAGATTACTTTATATATATATATATATATGCAACACCAATTTGATATGTTTTTCTATCTCCCCCCAAAAAAAAAGAAAATCAAAACGTTTGACTTACGCAATCATATCTTGCCATCCTACTAAAGCTTTTTCTGCATCACCATCAGGACCACCTAAATGTGCTTCTACATCTTCCTGTTGTAAAGATAATGAAAGTTTATTATTCGAGTGATTTAAAGATGTTGTTTAGTCGACTGGAAACAAGGAGAATGCTTACGATAAAGATCGCTTCGGGAATACCTCGTGGACCGATCTTCGTGGTTAGTTGTTGGACAGAGTTGGGTGTTGCCATATGGGATATCGTTGGTCGAATGTGTTGAGGTAAATCAGGTTTTGGGTCGATCTGTTTTCAAAAAGATGGAATCAGATGGAATCTATGCAGTGCCCATCAGTACCGAGTCCGACTCGTGTGTGCTGTGAGCATCGTCGGGGCCAGCTGACAAGTTGACTCGGAGACATGAAACCCGACTGTGACATGTTGTGGAGTATTTGAAGTCTTCAAAGTTCAAAGATCATGGTTGTCCATTGGCGTTTGCTTGAATTATGGAATCGGATTAAAGATCTACAAGGTGAGTAAACCAAAATATCATCGTCAACAAACTAAAGAACAATTAACTCATCCTTTCTTTCTTCTCAACATCAGATCTTCATGAATGTGGTCTACCCATTCAATTCCAACTCAAATCTACCTGTAATCAATTACTCAACATCTTTCAAGTTCAATCAAACCCTTCAAAATCAATTACATCGCATAAAGTCCTGATCGATGATATCTTAACCATTTCAGACGGCCTCATCACTTACGCAGATGAAAAAATACTTTCATATCCTTACAAAGAAGTTCCTACTTATTATAGACAATTATATACAGATGCGATCTTAATCAAAACTACCACCATATGGGCCTATCATCAAACCCAACAAGACTCATCAAATCTCTCATCTGCTTGCTCGGTTGATTGGTCTGAAATCATTCGTATGTTGGATATGGCTCTTATAGTGGCAGGTGCACCAGGAAAAGGAAGAAGAGAAACTCTTTTCTTCTTAATTCAGTCTATACAAAATACTTATCTTGCGGACCTCAAAGTTTCGTCTTCTGATGAAGAAGTTTATCCACCACACAAGAAGATCCGAATAGAAAATCCTTCATCACTCGTAAACACTCAATCAGATCAACTCCCAAGTCTTAAAGCCCATCCCACAACCTCTGATCTTCGAATTCATCAACAAATTCCTACGTACAACATACCTCCTACACCCAATGAATTTGTTAACAAGTTATATCAATGCCCATTTGTGATTAAAGGGTATTGTTCAAATTGGAATTCCTTAAAATCAAATCCTTGGCGAGAAGTTTCATATCTTAAAAAAGTTTCTGGACCTTTTCGTGTAGTACCAGTTGAAGTTGGAGGAAAATATACTGATGAAAAATGGGGACAAAGAATTATATCTTGGTATGAGTTTTTAGATTCGATCAAGTTACAAACTTTAAATCCTATTTCAAACTTTGCTTCAAACTCATCAGATCAGGAAGTCTTGTATTTGGCTCAATACGATCTTTTTCAACAATTTCCTACACTTCGTCATGATATCTCGATCCCTGAGTATGTTGATTGCGAAATTCCTGAAATTCATGGTCAGCCTCGTTTGAGACCATCTGCCGAGGACGGGCTGATCTTGAACGCTTGGCTTGGTCCTGGTGGTACAGTGAGTCCAGCACATGTGGACCCATACTATAATTGCTATGGTATGTTTGTATATTCTCTTTGATAAGTTGGTGTCCTAAATACGCTTTTAACGTTTATGATTAGCTCAAATCGTAGGCCAAAAATTTGTTTGGGTAGCCTCACCAAAATTCCAGTCAGAGATGTATCCATTCGGATCTTCATCTGTCTTAGCCGGCGAATCTACTCCGAATCTCAAACCATCAGATCAAGAAAAACAAGACGAATGTTTACAAACTAGTTTTATGAAGAATACAACTCAGGTGGATGTCTTGATGTCTTGTGATCCAAAGCATGATCAATTAGATTCAATTAAAGAAAGGTTTCCTGATTTTGTTGACAAAGTGATGCCTGAAGCTATGCAAATTGTTTTGGAAGAAGGTGATTTGATGGTCATGCCACCAGGGTTAGTCGATTTAATGTTCATTGCTTTGATCATTTGTTCAATTTGATTGACTTACTTTTCTATTCATGGTTTGTGAAACGGCTGGAATTATAGATGGTGGCATAGTATGAAAAGCTTGAGTCCATCAATCAGTGTATCCATCTGGTTTTAATTATCCTTAATACTATCTATAGTACCAGGATGATAAAACTTTAGAAACTCATGTTAGAAACCTATCAATTGTTGATGGTTGTAATCATAAACAGCTTTCCAAAGAAGACTGCAAACAGCTTTGAAGGCTGAGTAAATTGAATAACAGAATGACTCTTGTGTTATGAAGCGTATGCAGAGTAGCTATCAAAGACTCTCCTGATCTATTTGAAAGGAATAGAAGTGAAGCAATCATCTTGCATGACCATTTCTTGCTACAAACCATCGTGACTCGATTATGCTGCTGAAGTCAATCTCTCAATCTTGATACATAATTGATTTGAGTAAGAATTGAGTGTTTTATTTTAAAAACCGGTTTTTGACTTGGTAAACAACTGAACCAATTTTGATTTTCCAAAAACCAATCGATGGTCTTGACTCTAAACCGCCATTCACCATCCAATCCAATCTTATTATCAAATGTCCAATTCAAAAAACTGTCATTCTTCAGAGTCGAATCAGTCAACAAGTGATCACTCTACAACTGATGACTCTATCGATGACTCTATCGATAACGCTATTGAAAGCGCACTCGAAAACGCTCTCAATTCACCTACTTCCGATTTAATATCATCCTCCGATTTAGATTTATCGTCATCTTCATCAGACAGTGACTCTTCTGGTATCCTAGATTTAGCCATAAATGCAGCCATCGCACATTTAATTGAAGATCTAGAAAATCCAGTAAGACTTTCAAAGATTTACCGATATCAAGCTTTTTATTAATGTTTCTCTTCTTTGAAACATTCCAGTCTTCATCAACTTCTGAATCGGAATCCGAATCCGAATCATCTTCTAGTACCGAACGATCACCTTCTCCTGATCAATCACTTTCTCCACACCATTCACCTTTTCCTGAAGAATTCCCTTCTCCTCAATCTTCACCTTGTCCTAAACCTAAACCTTCTTTCAAACCATCACTTCAACATACTCGAAAAAGTTGAAACTATACTGATTCAAACTATTAAGAATCAAGCTATGAAGTGAGTTTTATTATTAATCAATGAAAAGATTTTTGGTTTTCCGTCTCTAGTTTGGGCTTTCTTATGCTGAACTCTCTGAAATCGAATTTTGAATTTTTAGATCATCATGTGTAGGAAAGAAAGGAAAATCCTGAATTCAAGTCTTTCGAAACATAAAGAAGTTCATTGAATCATGTTGATGAGGTTTTTATATTTGGATAGTTTGATTTAGTTTCGTCAATTGTATTTCTTAAAAGACATCATTTATGTACAAGAAATGAATATGTAATTACCCATAACATAACTTGAGGATAAGAAAAATTATCCAAATCTCAATGAAGCAGTTAACCTGAAATGAGGAGTAAGGCAAAGCAAAGGAAAACTTCAAGAAAAACCAAGAGATGTGGCCTAAGAATTGGTTTGGCGCGGTCAAAGTTAATTCACAACTTTCAGCTTTCTACATTCCAGCCACGTACAACACAATCAAGTGTGATCACACTGGACCGTATACGTGATTTATGAACTCATTCATTTCTTCAGATAAATTTATTTCCTCATTCGCCATTTGTTGGAGATCCAATCTTATCAACACGATGAAATCAATTGCAAAACTCGATTTATTGTATATACTCGAATGCATATCACTTTGGAGTTCGAATCCATTTCAAGAAATCTACCAAAAATTCAATCCAGAATTGTAATTACATAAACTCGTTTTGATTATAACCTTACTTTAATTTCCACAAATTTGGGTATACACCTTTTCTTTCATCACTTCGAAAAAAACCCATCCATTCCCAAGAAAAAAACAAATCCAAGATTCTAGATAATTAAAGTTTAGACCTTAAACTTTGATCAATTGATCCATTAAATTCTTTGACTTCAATCGATTCACAAACTTCTTTCATATCCCAAAGTGCTTTACAAAGTTCTTCACCAAACGATTTACTTGAAGTTCTTACATCAGATTTTTTTGTTTCGATTCCAAACTTCACCATTTTGGTTCCAACCAAATCTTTGTGAAAAATTGGCAATCAAAATTCAATATAAATCAATCTTTCTATTAAACAAAATGGTTTTCGAAATTCTTAAAATCTTTTATTTTACTCACAATTAATTCCGTATCCTCTTCCATAACATCCGAATCCAGTACCTGTGAACCGATCACCAGCACTCAATCCACTCGTACTCAATTGCCATTCAGCACTCTGATGAAAGACAGGATCAGTAAAGAGTAAAGGTAATGGTCCATCTTCCTCAGGTCGATGTTGAAGTCTAAGTCCAAGAAAATGTCGATCGAATCCTCGTCCAAGACTAACTTCTTTGGTATATTTATTATGATTAGCAACTGCTTCTACTAAGAAGTTATAAACTTCTAATGGCTAAAGAGGATCATCAGTCAAAGATCCAATCCATTATCTTTTCTCGGTACTTACTCGAGTTTTTGCATGACTCATTGCTTTGACAAATTCATAACTCTCTTTACTTAGAGTTCTAATCACATCCGTTCGACCATGCTTGAAAAGTCTAGTGAGACCAGTTTCATAAGTTGAGACCACAGTTCCAATTTGTCGATACCAAGCTAATTGCATTGCCATTTGAATATAAGCATCAGGCGAGAGTCGAGCTAATGATCAAAAGCAAAATTCAGTCGAGCCACAAACTCTTAATAAGCCAGATCAATGGCTTACCAGATTGTCTAATAAAATCTAACCCATAACCTTCAAACCGTAAAACATCAGCATCACTATCATCAGAGATACTTTGAACTGTTTCTTTTGCGTTTTCAATCGTTTCAAGAACTTTAGAATCCGTGACCCATTCTAGTTTTTTCCAATCATTAAATTCTATTCTATGACTATCTTCTTTGACTTTCGGATCACACCAACCAGATCCCACACCTTCAGCCAAAACAAAATCCGTCAAGATCGCTGGTATAAGTGCATCACAAGGTGAATGTTCTCCTAGTACAGAGGCTCTTGAATTGTTTTCTACAATAAATGCAAATGATTTATCGAACCATCTATTACATCCGTTTCCATTAGTAGATGCTACTTTGATATGTCCTTTGGTTCCACCTGGTTGAGTAAAATCTTCTAGACAAAGTACAAATAATGCATCTTCTATTAAATTCATTGAGGTCCTGTTGGTAGAACCGGGTAGGCTTAGAAGATGTTCTCGAATTTCTGTCCAGCTATCACGATCGAGACCAGTAAGACAACCGATCGAAGGAGTAGGAGGCTGTAGAGTGACATGATTAACGATTGACCAAAGACGTGACTCGATCTGCTTTGAAGATAAAGGACAAAACTCTCGATCCAAAACATCAAGAGTATAGATATGATCTCTAATCATGACGACAATATGACGAGAGTTTGATGAAGGAATGTTAAGTTGATCAGATGGTTTGTTAGGTATTCGAGTGATTCCATATAGGCTGTCGAGAAGCCAATGACGTTGCCAACGGGCTGAAGTGAGTGGGCAAAGATATTGAATAGGAAATCAGGACACAAAGAAGGAATTAATGATTGGTTAACCTACCAGTCATACTGATGCATACAAAACCGACCTGCACGAGAGGATTCAGGTATGATTTCTTGACTATCAAAAACAAATCAAGAAGTTCTTTGTTAGTGAAGATTGTAAAATTCAAAATTCAAAAAAAAAAAAAATGTTAAGTTTTCTTACTTATCTAATTTTTGTTTAAAGATCATCGTTCGATTTATTAAAACTGATGCTCTACGTAATTGCCAATCAGTAAATCGACCGTTTTCAGGTATAGATTCAATCACTTGATTTGGTATATCAGAATCAGGTTGAATTAAAATCCACCAATTCGAATTAATAGGTAATGGAACTCGATTAGAATGATAAGCAATTTTAATCCAATAATTATCATCTAACCAATTATAAGTTGAACTACGATCAATGTCAATTAATCTTTCTTGTAATCTTTCTCCTAATCCTCCTTTCATACATAATTCATTTGCCCATTCTTTTCTTATTTGATACTCTTTTTCAAATTGATTTTTTTCTAATGATTTTTCGCTTGATTGGAGTAAGAATGGTATAATCGATTTTAAGTATAAATTAACTGATTGATCGAGTGGTGGGACTGGTAATCTTGGCATATTTGATATATTTCTAGATTGGTTTCGGGTTCCATTGAGATTGAGATTGGTTTGATGGTTCATCTTATGTGAAGTGGTTGATAATGATAATGATGAAGTTAAAGTGGAATATTGAGATTGAAAGGTTTGATTGAATTGGATCGAGTTAAGAGTCAGATGTGGTAAAGAACGCATTTATTTGTTGAATTGAATTGATATCGAATGGTTCGTTTGAAGCTAATCCTTGAAGTTCTCCTTTAGATTGTCAAAAGTTTCGTATTCACTTCTTGAACTTGAAAGTTTTTCAAAAGTTCAGATAGTGGTAGCTCGGACCGGAGGTGCATTTTGTATCCCGACCCCGTGCATCGGTGTCCTCAACAAACCTGGACAGTCACAGGACCGATCCCGGCAAAAGCCTGAGACTGGCTCGGATAATGAGGTTGAGCTCCGAGTTACAAAAAGTTTTGAGGACCTTCAAGAATATGGCTCTCAACTTGTCTTGAGTCAACTCAGCAATTTATACTCCACGCACTCATCAGTTCATTCTCTATTGTCCTTTGATTTGTCTCATGAAATTCCTCTCATCTTTACCTGATTTTCCAACTATGTCCCAACTCTTCAAATCCCTTATGCTCAGACAGTAACTTCAGAAGATTTTCTATCATCTCAGCACGGCACTACTTTCATTGATTCAGGATCAAGCTGAAAATCTAATCGATGCCTCTAATTTCGCACACGTAAAAATGTCAAATCAAAACTTGTAGAGCTGAAATTCATGATTACTGCCAAGCATTTGAGAGTGCAGATTGTCAAGAGGCAGTATACTGATCAACGTCATAAGTAGCAACTCTTAGAGTCAGAACAGTATCCATGAAAATGTTTATTTCATAACCTGTAAGATTCTAGATGAACCTGACCAAGTGAGAATGGGTACAAGTTTGATGTGTATCCAAATATCAAGAAATGCGGAAAAGGGAAAATAAAGATGAGAAATGACAGTATGTTACAGATCAAAATTTCCTAAGACTTACCTTGTACGCTTGATTTGAGGTTCTTTTCCCTTTCTCGTAGGCCTGGGTCGTAGAACTCTTCCGGTCATTGATACCCTGCAGGACCTTGAATCATGAGCTGAGGTCTTCTTGCTACTTGCTTCGCGATTGGGGAACACAAGCCCCAAGGAATTTTCATTTATTCCATTCACTCGACTTCCTTGGGAATCATGTGGCGATATTGATGAGTCTCTTGGCCTCTTTGGCGGTCTTGGTCTTTTGGATGTAGAAGATTGATTTGTTGAGGAGTTAAGGTCATCTTTTGATGGTTTAGAGTTGGAAGATGTTTTGATCGACTTGTGTGAGTAGGAGGAGGAGGTAAGTGGTCTTGTCACGATTCTCGACGATTCTGGGAGTCGAGTTTCAGTTGGTGAGGTATTGATCATGTTTTCAGTGTGGAGGGAAGTAGGTGTAGGCGAGGAATCAGGAGACTCTGAGATATCTGAGAGATCAGGTTTGAAAGACTTTAATTTGAACTTCATGATTCTGATCGAACTACGTGTGAAGAGTTCGGGCGGCATAGGAAATGTGTGATATGAACAATGAGTCTTGATGTTATTTTTTGGGTACGATAAGTCGGTGTGTGTGAGGAGCAGCTGGTATGAATACATAGAGGCTATATGAAGTTTGATTTGAGAAGTGAGCGCCTTATTTTAAAAAATCCTCAGCACTGAAAGCTGATGATGCCAAAGCACTACGGAAAATGTTAACGCCCTCAGGCGGTAGATTGCAGTACTCATCCGCCTGAAGACGTCGGGTTGGACTAGGGTGTTTTATTGCAGTTTGATCGATCCACGTTCCTTTGTCCTTTGATCGCGAGAATATTTCAAAAAAAATCGTGCTGAACAATGAAGCCTTCAAGTTTCACCTCTCATATTTTGAGAACCTGTACTTGATTACAGATTGATGAAAGGGACTTATTTCCTTTCTAACTTTTTTGTATGCTTCATTTTGAATACACTTTTCAACATATATGTTTTTTTTCTTGATCCATGGATAGGTTCATCTTGACTTCCATTCAGAAGGCTTTTTCCGAATCATTTGAATTCTTTAGGTCGTCCCTTAGGCTTCACACCTAGGAAAGGTTGTGCACATACTGTCGGTACTACTGGACCCAGCAATCAACAATGTGTTAGTAACGGTCCTGCATCCGACGAAAAACTTTACGGTGAGTAGTTCCTCTTTCCTTCTTTTTACTTATTGAATTCAACCAGATACTTTCTTCAGCTGGCAGTTTTTCTATGATTTTATGTTTCAAAGATTGTTTGTAAATAGATGAAAAATTATTAGATTATGCATTGCCGAAATCCATCTTGTAAGGAGGGGTGAAATGGGGAAGCTTGAGATTCAGAAGAACAGATCCAAAAATGCACTTGATAGAGCCAGAGATAGACTTACTTCAACTCGAATGTAGTGGTCGAGGCTCACATTGAGGAGGCTCGCAGGCTGAGGAAGACCTCCATATTAGGCTGCTCTCAAAGCGAAGGACCTTTTGCGTTATCGATACAGATTTCTAATTTCGGGCATATATTGACAATGTTCTGAAGATACGATACTTTTACAAGGAAGGAGATGAATCTCATAGCAGACGTCGCACCCACTTGAAAGGATCGGTGGATGTCGCAATCATGCAATTCGGCATGAGATGCTCTCTCCATGGATTGGGTTATTCAAGCCCTCATGAAGGCTTGCTGATTCCAGACGAAAGGCATCTTATTTTCTATCACTGAAATTGAGACAATTCATAAGGCCAAGCTTGACAAAAACTCTGTTCGCGCGGCCGCGTCCGCGCCCTTCAATCCATACCTTTGTGTTGCCTTCTCAGAAACACAAAGTCTCCCCCAGACAATTTTTATCTACTATTCTACTATGACTCTGATCTCTGCAGCTCTGACCGGTTTGGAGTATGATCAAAATATGCGCAAACCTGTGAGATGTTGACCACTGGAACCAATGTGTACAGGCAGCTACTCAGAACCCCCCCTTCTCTAAACATTGGTCATCTTGGCTTGCGTGTTGAATAGAAATGATACCAAAATCAAAAAGATTGTACGCTTTACATTATTTTTGACATTAAATTCGGCAGCGCACATTTTTTTAGACGTGCCGCTGAACACATATGATGGAATTAATGCTTCAGAAATGACATTACATTTTCAAAATGCTAGAAGTGGTGCTGATCCTTTACTTGAAAATTCACCTTCAGCGATCTCTTCAAACATATAATACAAACCTTCCACTTCACTTCGTCCTTGTCATCAAAAATCAACCCTTCACGAACTCTTCACCTCATTCAAGACAAGCACTCTACACTCGAAAAGCCGTCAAGATGAGCTCTGATAATACTTCAAAACATGATGATGCAAAAGATACAGTGTCCCAATCCACCCTTGTCAAAACATCTGACGAGAAGAAAGAGAGGTATGTAGTCTTTTTCCTCGACCCCAATTGTCCCTTAAAAGAACTAATCATTTCATTTCATCACTCTTTCCAATCAACAGTGTTCGTCCACCAACTCGACGTCGCAGACGCAAACTCAAATTCTTTTCACCATCAACAAAGGTCGCGGATCTCTTATCGGAAGCTGAGGAAGGACGAGTTTTAGAAAACCGACGTGTCTTGACCCTCATCTATTCGGCAAAAGACGACGACAACGCGCTTCAAGGCACTTCTAGCCGAGTACCTCTAGCTGCGACTGGTATCTTATATCAAACTCCTTACAATCATGATGAAAGCCCTTCGATTTGGTTGCTAGCAAACCGATGGATATTTTTACCAAGATCAAGGCCGCAATCACAAGATGAGAGATGCCCGACCCCAAAAGGTGTCAAGCAAAAACTGGAAGAAGACATTGCTTATCTAAAGGGTGTAGAGGTCAAAGAATTGTCACACGATGAATTGTTTGAAGCACGCTATTTTTTGAGAGATTGGGTAGCTCAGCTATCCCAATCTAATAAGTAAGTTGATATTTCAGAACATCTTTCTATCCTTGAACTCTCGTACAACACGTTTTCCTGACAAACTTTTCTTGTTGTTCTCTCCCGATTTTCCTCCTTTTATATCATTCTGCATCAGACCTTCTCTTATCTCGAAAATATCCGACTTGAGCGCACTTGACTCGATGGTGACGCGACTCCGATCAATCCCTCAGCTTCTTCAAGTACTGGTCCCAACCTCAATCAAAAGTTTCTTCAATTGGATCAAATTAGAGTATCTATATGAACCACCATTCCAATCCATGGTATGAGAGGGATAGCTAAGGTTATTTCAGGCAGAAAATTTAGTCGACATTATATTTTTTATAAATTTCATTTTGCTTGGTTTTGAGGGGGAACACTTACAAAATAAATACTACATAGAATATATGAAGGAACAAATATACATACTATTTACTGCAACAACACTTTTTTTATTTACCACCCATATCTGTTAACCAACATAAAATCTTAAAATCATATGTGAGTACTGGTAATATCATCAAATGTTTGTCATAATAATCGAGGAAAATTGTATCTTGTATATCTTTTTAACAATAACGGCCTGCATATTTTACCTAACACAAGAAATATAAAGCTTTTCTGGATTGTATTCTACATACAAGTTGATCACGAAAACCCAAGTTTGCTCAGCCTAAGAAATCAAGGTGTTTATTCATGTATGAAAGTTAAACTTTATTTCCAATGATGGCATATGAAAACAATTCAAGATTCTGTATCAAGAGAAGATTTTTGAGCTTGCTATGAACTAGAAAATCTCTTCCGTTCCTTATATGAATTATTCACTCTTTGTCTTCCATCTCGGGTATTTTGTCCTCTCACAATCTAAGAGCCACGTGTTATTTTAACTCTATCCAATATGAGTCATATCATACATACTCACTGCTTGAATAACTAAGTATTCTCTTTCCATCCTCGCATTTCCGGAATGACATTGTCCAATTGAATAAGGATATCCTTGAATAAACGGACTGAAACAGTACTTACTCTGGAATGTGAAATGAGAGTCACACTCACACAAAACAAGACAATCTATCTTTTTCAATTCTGGAGCTTCACCAACAGTCCTTTGAGTTTTACGCGCAAATTGCCTTCAGTTTCGCCTGGTCGTTCCGTCAGGTTCCGTCTATTAGAAAAATCCCAAGGGCATATACTATGATAGATTTTAATGATGAGGATGATAAAGATATATTCATCAGAGATTTAGACTCTGGGCCATTCTGGGTTGGATATACACAATTCAACCACGATGAGGGAATTCTCGTCATGAGATATAAGAACCCCGTAATGGACTTTTTATCATGAAATGAGATCACGTGTAGCATCCCTGTAGGGTACATTTTCTTACACCTACAAAGCAGTTACTGGATCTCAGACGCGCCTACGTAGGTTGATAGCTCCAAATGTCATGCTCAAATTCCATGGTTGCTCAAGGTGAAATCTCAAAACAGATTTCACCAAACAAAGAATTACAGCGCATATTCTTTTATTGCATAGTTTTGAATAATCCTCAATAGCATTAGAGCTATTGAGGACTATGCAATCTAGCTACCGGTAAAAACCCTGTGGCTGTTCAGGGAAAAGGTCGCTAGTGGCTGTTTCATTTCTAAATTACAAGAATGGGAAGAGTGGTGCATGGGAATGAAGCGGGAGATGAAAGAAATTCGCGCTGGGGGAAGAGATTGTAGCCAGATTCATTTGTTTCAAGATATTCAGGCGGAGTTGAAGAGTTTGGCGATGAAATTGCAGGTCCGGGAATTCCAAAGGGCACGTTAGTCCACCTTGATGCCTTCTTGTTGAAATTCTCTTCTGGGGTATAAAAGGTTGAGCGATTTGAAAGGACACCTTGATCCACCTTGATGCCTTCTTGTTGAAGCACTTGTCTGGGGTTATTGTGAGCCTGTTTCGTGGGGGTGACAAATGCATCGCGCCGGGGGAAGAGATTGTGACCAGATTCATTTGTTTCGAGATATCCATGCGGCGTTGAAGAGTTTGGCGATGAAATTGCAGGTTCGGGAATTCCAACATTAGTCCACCTTGATGCCTTCTTGTTGAAATTCTCTTCTGGGGTATCAAAGGTTGAGCGATCCGAAAGGACACCTTGATCCACCTTGAAGCCTTGTTGAAGCACTTGTCTGGGGTTAGGGCGAGCTTTTTTCATGGGGGTGACAAACGCATCAAAAGTGAACAAATATCTTCAGCACCTTCGGTCATTTGCAGGTGGGGTCGACGGGATGCTTGAAGCGGCGATCAAAGGTGTGCTGGGCTTGATTGTATGTGTCTGACAACGGAGACACCAAATCGTAGTTGCTTATGGTAAGTGCCAACACGATTGTCCCTCTCATTGCATAGGAGGCCGATTCGATTATAGTTGAGTGCAATTCCAGCGGGTCGATAACGAGTCATCTCATCCTGTCACAGAGCTCGTGGTTTTTGAAACCAATAGAGTCCGCTTGCGTCGTCAGCTGCTGGAAGCAAATCCAAAAAATCCCGGTTGGTCTCTCCCTTTTCTTAACAGAGGCGATCAAATCGTTCATCGATAATAGACAATGAGACCAAGGGTGAAAGTCGATCCAGCTTCAAAGTTACGAATTCGGGAGGCTTTCTAGGTGTTTGTTGATCTTGTGAGGTCCTCTTTTCGAATGACTGACCATAGATCACGTAGCTGAACGCAAGTGACATGATAGTGAAAATTGAAGAGATCCTCTGACGATGAAATTGAAGAGATAATATCAAGAATAATAAGAGATAAGTTAGAAAAAGAGAAGCTTAAATCTCCATGAAGATATTGATGAGGGAGCAGGGTTTTTAGGTCGCAGAAACCAAAAGAAGTAAGAGATAAGGATTGAGTGGTAATCCTAATTCGCGAAGAGATAGCAAGTTTATATACCAGAGCTGCAAAGATGGCTGAGTACATACCTCGATTCACCCATTTCCTTCTCAAAGCGTCACTGAATTGGACACGGTCTCTTTTATCCAACTGATGGTGAAAGGTACAAAATTCATATGAAATGTCAGGGATGGCCATGATTCGAGGATGGCTGAATGATAAGTTGTCCCAAGGTACAGCCTATACAGGCATCCCAGGAATTTCAACTCGCCATCCTTGTTAATCAGGTCACTCATTCAATTGCAATTTATCCAGGAAGAAGCGGTCATTCACATCTTTCTGGGCTCCAGTTGGTTTCGATCCAGGTCACACTATAAGGTCCGAACGATTCTCGTCGAAAGGTAGAACATGAGCACAGGCCTAACTTAACCAAGTCTCTCGTTGGTGGCGGGGCCCTTTGAACCTCGCAAGCTCAGAGACACTGGAGACACCCAAGCTTGCGCGGATCGCCTCTAGAGACATGGTGAAGTTAGTAATCGTGTGATATCTATCAGATCTTGCCATGTTGTCCTGTTGCCCTGTTTTGTGACTGCTGTAGCTCCCCCACCCTCTGGAGAGACCTGTAAGGTGACCATTCTTGCCCGGCCTACAACAAACTTATACCATTTCTCTGATTATCTGCTATCATTGGAAATCCTCAAGTATTTCCTCAAGTATCTCCTCAAGTGATGATATGTAATCAATACAATACAGTGAACTATCTCCCAGATCTGCTTAAGAAATGGACAAAAGGCTTCAGTAAGTTGAACTTATATGTTCCCCTACATATCAGTCTTTTGAAGGTCCTACATAAAAGATTTCCACTTGTATAACTCAAAGAAGAAAGGCAAAGGTACTCAGAATTGATCAGAGTTTACAGAGTTAAAAAAAGAGTGCCAGTTCACCCCTGTAGATTTCAATCAAGTCTATAAGCTAGATTCCAAATACACTAGAGAAATATTTATGTCCTGAAAAAGTACATGTTACTTACACTAAAAAGCATATGGCAATCATTGAGAAAATTAAAGGACACAATAAAAGTTGAATAGTCACTCATTACTATCACCTAACTATTGGGATGGAAATCTTCAGAGAGAAGTTCAGTAACAAAGCAAAAAAGATGTAAATCCTTTAAAAACTCGTTGAAGAAGAAACTATATGAGAAAGAAAGCCATCAGGTGAGTTGAAGTACTACAAGACCAAACCTTATGCCCCAAATCACTCAAAAATCCAGAATTGATTTCTTCACTAGCAGAAATGAAGATGAATCAGACCTTCTCATCAAAAGGAAGATCATTTATTGAACTCTTACAAGAAATCAACCCAACACAAGAATAATTCTAATAAACATTATAACAATCCGAGAAAGAGTGAAGGGAAGCCAGGAAGAAGGATTTAGGGCAAAAAATCAAGTGTAAGCACTTTTACTCCCCTCCATCATGTGAGATACAGTAGGAAGGGTTCTGAAATAACTATCCAAAAAGTTGAATACCACTAGAGCTACACACTGTAAAACTCCTACTATGTGTAGCTTAGGCTGAGCCACTCAAGAGAGCAGATGGAACTACAAGTCCAGCAAAGCTGCCCTCAACCTTTGAATAGCCCTTTGAAATAGCCACAGAAGCATCTAACAACTTTCAATCTTTGCTAATCTTTCCCGTAGAAGGGTGCACAAGCCTTAGCAGAGCCTGTGCACACCTACACAACCTCTCATCTTTCATCACCCAAAGTGGTCCTTGGACAACAACATTCAAAATTGACTCTTGGAGATACATACTACCATCTGAAACATTCTTTTTAGAATTATTTCTTCAGAAAGTTCTTTTCCATAAAAATATGAATATAGGCCCTGCATGTAAGTTACAATAAAAGCCTCTGATCTTAATCCAAATGCTACAGAAATCTTTTGTGTTGTATTAAGACAAAAAAATAATTTAAAATTTGAATCTTACATGATTATTTTATGAAATCAGATTAATGATAATGAGATGAGTATAAAGATAAAATAAATAATGATTTAATCCATCTACGTATATTCAAGTTGAAGAAAAACCTTCAATGACTTAAACAGATTATATAAAGAAAAGATAAACGATGAAAGAAGCAAAAAGAAAAAATCAAATCCTGATACAAAATGTTCATTTTAAAAGGTATACAGAAAAATCGAAAGAAATCAAAGCCAAAAAGGACAATCACAGTCCTACTGAAATGAAGTAAGAAAAATGATTTTCTAAGAATGCGAAGCATGAAACGATTTGATCAAATCTTGACCTTCTCGAGCTTCATTAAACCTATAAATCGGCCAATCAAACAATACCCAAACCTTAACAAACCTAGGTAACCTAACATAAACCGAATTAGGAATCGGAAATAAGATACTAGTAGAATCTAAATACTCTTTAAATTGATCCCAACTATGATCTTGATCTTGATTAGAAGTAGAAGTAAGATGATTTGATTTAGGTTGATTTAATGATACATTCGATGGATGATTTTCGGTTGAATTAATCTGATTTTGATATGATTTTATATAAACTTTTTCTTGAACCGGTCTTTCTGCTGTTGGTAAACCTGAAACAAACATTAATAAAAGAGTGATAAAGATAGGTGAGATGATTGAAGCGTAGATGAAATTAGATGCAGTTTTTGATATCCCTTCGTTATGAGCTGATTCGATAGTCTACAAATCGAAAAAAAAATGATTAATAAGATTGTGAGTTTGAGAGTTTGAGGGTTTGAGGAGTGATATGATCCTTACCATCAACCAAATTCCCCACCATAACAAGATTTCTCCAAAGTAGTTCTAAGGAAAAAATTATCAAAGAGAATAAGCATAATATAATTTGAAAGAAGAAAACGCGAGAAAAAGATATTGAAGACAAACAGGATGTCTGCTCCATTTCCAAGTCCCATTCCTACAAACCGGAAATCCGTCTTGACCATTTGATTTTTGATTCTCTTTCCATTTAAATTTTTCCACATCGGCCAAACTTTCAATTATCAAACCAATCGACCAAAAAATTAAACCAATGATATCGGATGCAGTACCGAATGATTTGATGCCTTGATGGTTTTTAGAAACCGAAGGTGAATTTAAGATGATTATTGGCCATGAAACCAACCAAACCCAACATAATTGAAAAGTCCAAAACCCTGCGAATTTGAAAAATTGACTTCTCATCTCATCGAATCGATTATCTTGACCTCTTTTCAATACCCTAAAACCCAAAAACAAAACATTGCAAAAAAGTAAGTAAATCGAATTCGAATAAACAAAACCGAATGATCAAATTAGAAAATAAGATTCGATACACATACCTAAATAACAAAAACCCAGCTAATCTAATCGACCAAAGCATAGTAGAAAAACTAACGATCCAATTCCGACTAAGATCAAAACTTTGACTAAACAGAAAAGTTATCAAAGATAGTATAAAGAAATTCATGCCACCTGAGAAATCAGTAATCTTATCGAATTGTAAAACATATGAAATCATAAATGAGATAGATTGAATGGTTAATGTGATTAAGAATGTGATGGATAAATAATAATGGTCTAGTACTATGATTGGGTCTCCCATTTTTGATTGATTTGATTGATCGATCTGATTGACTTATGATTTGATTGATTGATTTGGGATTTGATTTGAAGATGTTGAGATTATTGTTTCTAGTTGGGTTTTGAGGAAGCTGATGATAAAGTGAGTTAGTATTCTGATTGAAGAAGTGAAGAGTTAAAACTTCAAAGGGTTGAATTCGTTTTTAGAAATTCAAAATTCACAAATTCACAATTCACAATGGGGCTGTGACCCGACCCTGGAGGCTCGCGCCGCACCCGGGGATTTGCCTGGCCCTGGGTAGACCCGATGATGAGTAATTTTCAAACTCGGTTTTGGAAGATGCCAGGCAACAGACTGACCACACACACTACAAATTGCTACAGTCAAAGCCGTGCAAATGCATACCCGCGCAGCTGCATAAACTGTGATAATGCATAGAAAAAATGTTGAATCATGATACTTTTTACTGCCAAAAGTGACAACAGAATTGCATAACCTGTCAAGATGCATACCAAAAGTCTTCCACCCAAATTATGCAATTGAACTTGTTTGACTTTATTGCATCTGCGGGATTTAGCACTGTGGTAAAGGCATGCAACTCTACCAGTGCTGAAGACATAGGGTGTCTCATGAACATGTGGAAGTGTTGGGCAGTCATGGGGCAGGGCCTTACGTGACTATCTCCAAGGTCAAAATCACTACACAATGGATAGTGGTAGTGTTGTGAAAGTGCTGTGGCACTACACTTTGAAAAGTTAGTTTTTGTGATAGTGGTTGATGCACAGCCCTATACAAAAGTCCAAAATTTCTGTAGTGGTATGTCCACTACACTCACAAGTTTTGGTAGTGTGTCCACACATATAGTGGTCCACATAGTGTACTGTAGTGTGCACTGATATATAATTTATTGAAATTCCATTGGGCTCTGCACCCAAATAATCAAAAGTCCTGCTCTTTTTCAGGACCCTTCTTTATCTTTTCTTTAGGACACAAGGTATACACATACTTAAATTCACCTCTGTACTACTTTGCCCCACTTGTCTACCTTGTGACCTTCTTTCATTGGCTTTCCCCCACCACATCTACCCTACCAGTGCACCCCATCAAAATCATGATCAAAAAAGTGAGTTTCAACTGAAAAGTATGAAATAACATGCTTTAATTCCCTTGCTGAGCATTGATTGTGACTTATAAATCTAGATTGATTATCAAAACAATGGATTTAAACAGCATCCTCCCAACAAAAATACTTTACATATCACTCAATCCCCCTCCAACAAATGTACTTTCTAATTTCAACCATTATCCAGTTTATTTATGATCAATTTCTTATCTTTCATCTTAATTTTCTTTTACTTCATCTCATCCTGTCATTCTGAAGGTATCCAATCAGCAATATGCCACTGTTACAGACAACAAGTACAATGTGTTTGCTTCAATGCCTTCTCCTGACAATGATGTTAGTCATGAAATGGAGGGCTGATTGGTGGCTTGATGCATTCATGGTGGAAGATAAGTTTTTCTTTCATTCTTCTTATCAATACTATGGTTTCTCACTACTTTGTGTGATGTAGGACAACTCATGTTCTTTTCCTGTTCTTGCAGAGATAGCTCAGGATTTCCTGTGCTGTTCTGCAACCACCTGTACTTGTGTGAGAGGGTGTTTTCTGGAGCAGCCAATGTCTGCGGGTTTGATCAAAAGGCATTGGAAAGTGCAACCTTTGAAGAACTTACTTCATTGTACAAAGGGATGAAGGCAGGTCTCAATGTTCCCGGAGCATTTTCTGAGGCCTTTGAATTGGTTGTGTATATGGAAAAAAATGAAGTAATACTTCATTGTCAATATTCCTACATCTTGTTTCTTTGGCATTTCCCTATAAACTTGTTCCTCATTCAACTTATCTTATGCTTCAAGTTAACAACTTTCTCTAATAAAAAGCTTGGCTATCTTATCTTATTCTTTTCTCACCTCACTCCTTTCCCCTTGCTTCACAACTCTCTTTGAAACTTTGTTCATTTTCAATCTCTCTTCTTTTCCTTGACCGGCTCAAGTAATCCATAACTCAAGTTTAATGGTTCTTTGTACACGTTTTCTACGTAGTGCACTACATGCCTTTTGATGAATTTCTTTTTTCATATTCAAAAAACATGTGCACTATTATAGTGCTAGTGATACAATATCACAGAGAGTGTTGGTGACTAACACACACCACTACATACAATAAATAGCAGGTGTCTGCAAATAGTGGTGTGTATTGTTTCCTTAAAATAGTGGTACACCACATCACTACTGAGGACCTGTCATATAGCTGTGCATAGTGAAGTGATTTCAACCTTGCTATCTCATTACTCGAGACATATCCCTTGTATTGTGCTACTTCTAGAAGAAGACTTACCTGAGAAGTTGGCCCATGCATGTTACAAATTTGTCAGAGCAGGGATTCATAGTGTTCAGAAACAGAACCTTGATTGAACTATCAAATCCCACAAATAGATTAACTCACCTTCATCCAAGAAGAGTTATGAATATCTTTGATCAGTTTCAACTCCATCACAACAAAATAGAAAAATGGAACACGAGATATGAATAATGAAAAACATCAATCCAAAACATACCTTTCATACCAGGGATTGATAGTGTTCAGGAACAGAACCTTGATTGTTGAACTATCAAATCCCACAAATAGATTAACTCGCCTTCATCCAAGAAGAGTGATGAATATTGTGGATGAGGACAGAAAACTTATTCATTGACATTAATAACAATGATACACGCCGGAAGGGCCGTGACGGTTTGTAGGCCGTCACAAAGGGCGGCCTGCAGGCAGTCTACGCCTCTGCATTGATGGGCGGCCTACAGACCGCCCACTGAGCTTGCGCCTGCTGGGCAGCAGGCATCCAAGTGGCGCCTTGTAGGCGCCATCAAACGGCCTGCGGACGGTTCGCAGACCAGGAGGCCCCAAGTTTTTGCGGGCATGATCCACCACCCAGCCCGGGCAGATCCACTTGGGTCGCTCAGGCAGGGCCATGCAAATTGCTTGCTCACGATGTAGAACTTATAACCCAACAAGGGTTATACAGAGCTGGAAGAGGATAATCTACTAATATAATGACTAGTAGAAGTCGTCTGAGACTGCTCTTCTAAAACAACACAATCAGGAAAAGGCGCTGTTGTATTGAGTACAGATAAGGCACCAGAGGAATATAACTTTCACACATATTTTAACTTCAAAAGCACAATTTTTATTACTGTCAACACTGCTATAGTGTTATTACCAAATGATAACTGAAAAAAATGAGCAATATCTTTATGATATTATTCCCAATAAGTCTTTTTGACTGCAATCCTAAAGTAAATTTCTCTTTATAGCTATAATAAAGGGCGTATTTAAGTGACCAGGTACTATTAAAATAAGTTTATGATGATAAACAAAATAATAACTGTGTAAATGATAAAGAAAAAAGGGGACCAAAAGTCCCAAAACCATCTCAAAGTATATACAACAATGTACTCCAACTTTTACAGTGGTCAAGAGCCTCAAAAACCAATCAAATACGCCCAAAAATCCCTGAAAACCCCTATGATGACGCAATGTAATGATTTTGTTACTAATAAATGATGTAATTTTCACAGCTAAAAGTGATAAGTGACGCAATAATTTCTTATGATGAAGCCAGGTGATATTTTCCTTGTAAACTAGCTGAAAAGCAAATTTTGAGATTACAAATTTTTTCAGATGAGGTCCAATTTTTGATTACTAAAGTGCATCTTGTAGCCCTTGTGTTACTGATCATTTATCACTCCCATATGACCTATTTCTGATGAGTGATGAGTAAGATATTGAGTTGTGAAGTTAAGGTTTTTAGTATTACATGTTGACTTATGAATATAAATTCGAGATTCACACCAATTTCTTATTTGCCTTATAACCTTTTACATACACCTCTGCTACTATTGATTCAAAGTCTGTTCATTATGTAATCCACCCTCGTGCGTTGAATGAGCTATCTATCAACCTAATCTGACGTCATTTGACATATGTAATGAGCTGAAAACCTTCATTTTTGACAAAATTTACCCATTTTCTTCACTTTTCACAGCTGCTACTCTCTTTTTCTTGCTCATGCAATATGAAATCATCCTCTATAACCTTAAAAATCCCGGAAAATCCTCTTGGCAACCTTAAATTTCACTATAACCACCATTACATATGCAATCTACACGTATACCTCTTGTTTACCAACTTCAAAAAATTACGTTTTCTCTAATAACTTCTGTTTCTTCTTATCAAACTTCAAGATTAAAATTGTTACAGTATAATATAATGTTTTTCTTTCATATTCTAACCTCATAATACCCATAACTTTATTATTAATACCCTAAAAACCATTTTCCAACCTGTATACCTATATTTTCAAATTTTTCTTATGTTTTTCTTTCTTTCTTTTTGTAATAAATTTGCAAATGAACTCTAATGATATTAATAAGTAATGTGAAATAAAATGATGTAATGTTAACCCAATGACCAATACATAAGCCTATAAGAGCTTCAATTGATCCAAAAACCTCCATTTTGAATTTTTCTTACCTGCTAAACTTTTCTAGTAAACTGGTAAACTACTAATAATGAATTTTTTGATTGATCCCTTAAATTGATCACCACATTGGGAAAACAGGGCAAAGCAGGTTGGACTGACACACAATGGGACAATCACACGGCAAGATGCAGGTCAACTTGAGATTATATTTCAATGACAATGAGAGGGGATTTCAGGAGGTAACAACAGGATCTATTTTCATTTCAATATATAGGGCTTTCGTAAACTTCCGTAGCTATTCTTTTTCTTCACATATTTTTGTTTGCAATGACATTTGTACTAGTAGTTCTTCATAAAGCGTTAAAGTCTCATTTTGCAGTAACTTGCGCATCCGTACCTGTGAGGGTTGGGTACTCTTTGAGAGTGCTCTATGCTCACTAAAGTTGGAAAATGGGTAGTGTAGTAATGAAATTTGATTCTTTATTTCAAATGTGTAGTATTTACAAAATGAAATAAAGAAAAGAAAGAAAGTAAAAGAGACTGATAGTCTGTTTGGATAAGTCCAGACAGACTACAGTTAGATGACTTCTTGAAAGGAGGTTTGATTTATAATTAATAATTATTATAAAGTACGAAGGCTGGATCCAAGGCCCTCCTTTAATCTTTAAAGTAACAGATTAAAGAGTGAGGTGAAGGTCACTAGTCTGGTTGTTACAAAGTCACCAACTTATGGTTATTCAGAAGGTACACCAACCTGAGAGTTGATATAGGTCACTAACCTACGGTTGTTCAGAAGGTACACCAACCTGTGAGTTGATATAGGTCACTAACCTGTAGTTGTTCAAGAGGTAACTAACCTTGAAGTTAATTGGAAGGTCACTAACCTAGAAATGTTCTACTTAGGGAAAGTAGAGGATCCAGAAAGGGGAAGAAAGAGATTACTTTATCTTTTAGTCAGGAAGCTGCTTTAAAGATATGAAGTGAATCACTAGTCTTATTATTATAAGACTTTTGATTATGTACTTCAATTGAACTTTAAAGGGTTCTTTAAAAGATGTGTGTAATAAATTGCTTGGGGGATTTTCTTGAATGCTGAGAGAGGAGGGGATTATATACTCTCCTCTCTAAACCTAACTGTAGTGGTATTTGTTTGTATCACAACATTGGTTTAGGGTTTGTTGTTAATGATTGTTATGATCATTATTAATTATGCTTAATTACATATACACACTAAGTATATTATGTAGTATAAGCATTTGAAACCAAAGCATTTTGACTCTTGACACTGAGTTATGAGGTGTTAACGATGTTTTATAACATACTACATGTGGTTTTAAGTGTAGATGTATATGTAATTAATATTTTTATGTGTTTTATTACATGTTACATACTGTCTATTGGCCGTATGTATATGTAATTAGGTTTGTATATGATAATTCTTTATTGCAAGTTAGTTTTGGGTACATGTATATGTACTCAGGGCTGACAGTACCTATCCCATGTTGAAGGTGTTTGGTGCACCTTGAGGGAGAGAGGTGTTGTGTGCCACACAGTCCAAGACGTCCTCCTCCAATGGTAAATCCAGATTAACCTTTTTTTCTTTGGGGTCTTGAAAGAAAGTAACACCATCAAAATACTGGCAATCTTCTTCAAATATAAGTTGATAAAACTACCATTCAAAGATATGTTAGCAATTGATAGTCCAATGTGTATATTCAGAGAATTTACTTACGCAATTGCGTAGGCTTCATTGTTCCTCAAATGCATACTGGATAATTTCCTGTCAACACAAGCCCATATTGACTGGCTCCCTTTTCCGCCTGTGATCAGAACCCGCGCGGCTTCACAACGCTGCAGTTCATCAAAGGACAGAATACATGGATTGCGGTAAGACAGACATTATGCAATGGTGAGTGAGACTTCAGGACTTACAAGGTAAGCAATTTGAGCTCGCGTGAGTGAATCGGTGGCTGCCCACACTACGTCAACGTGTGGGTTGGAACCCACAGTACCACATCGAACCGAAACCTACAACGCAGTACCAGTGAGCCTCATGTCTGTGATAAAAGCATCAAAGAAAACTTACTTTTTGAACCATGGACCTGATGGTTAGTACCGTGAATTCAACCTCCTCGCCAGTCTTGGAATCATGGATACCTTCCAATAATTGTTCAAACACATTAGATTGTTAACCAAGGGATTCAAAGATACCACACAGCTTGATACTTACCACAACGTGAACCTTTTCCCTGGTGTGCTTGGCGACCTCTTTGATCGCACTGTAGTACCTTTTGGCGGCAGATGCCTCCTTGACACCTTGATGCACAGCTGAAAGGTGTCTTTCAAGGAAGCCAGCCGGTTGCCTTCCTATTGTGAGCTACAGATTAGGCCCGAGTTATCAACATGAGGTGAAATCAGCATGTGAGCTGAGAGCTTGCTTTAATTACATTGAACAATGAATTTGGGAGTGCTCCCTCAGCTTGGTTCTTGATTGTGGTGTACGCGCTCAACTGGGGTGAGGCCATCAGCTTAAGGGCCAGCAGGTTCATCACATCCTGGGTGATATAAGTGGGTTAATTATCCACTTAAGTGCGCGAAAGAATGAGGGTACGTACCAGGAGTTGTGGACTAGCATCCCACTGACCCTCACCATCTGAGTGATTGGTGGTGTTTGGCTCAATTGTGTTAGAAGCGGGGGCTGAGGCCAAATCTTTGACAATCTGAGTGACCGTAGCAAGTTGCTCAGCCAAACTGGCTACCTGTGACTGGAGCTTGGTCACCTCCATCATGATTTGACCATGCATGATTGCTTGGCCCAAGTGACGGTTGTTCTCACCAAAGACCTTGAGAATCAGAAGCAACAAAAACATCAACCGGTCTTTGTGGTCAGTGGAAGTTATAAGAATACAAACTAACCTCAGCCTGTTTCATAGCTAGAACATGTGACACGGGATCTAATCCGGCCTGCAAGGACAAGGCTTCAAAGTTCTTGAGTGTTTGGGTCACAATGGGACATGCGTAGACACCAAGATTGGGTTGGCTTGCGCTTGAGTCATTGGGATTTTTGAATGGATTTGTCGGTCCAGTAGCACCTACTCGACTGGTCTGCAAAGGAGGGAGGTGCGGTGGTTAGAACACATCGAGGAACCTTGCAATAGTCTTGCACGCGGTGAAACCGAGCGATTGTTTCTGGATCGCGAGGCAATTGGAGATTGCCCATGGGTTGGATTGTTCATTGCAGGTCCCCCCAGGCTGAAAGAGCGACCGGGTGTAAAAGCACCATTGGCTTCTCGCGGTGGACCTTCAAACCCAGAACCTGGCAAGTGAAAAATGAGCAGTGGAATAAGGAGTACCATGTGAAATCAATCTCACCCATGTTATTCATGAGTGAGCCGTGATTATTCAACCCCATTAGAGATCCACCTCCAGAAGAGAAAGTGTCAGGCGCGCCCTGAGAGCCTCCAAATGGTGTCTTGAAAAAATTATTTGCAACAGACATATCAAGGGTGAGTGAGTGAGTGAGAAGGGATAGGTAAACAAAGAGGGGAAAACCCTCACTGAAACTGTTATCCATGTTCATGATCAGCAAGAGTGCTGTTGAAGCGGGATTTGTGCACACAGTAAAGAGGCGTGTCAGCTTGCCCAGAACAAGTTGTGTTGAGCTTTGTTGTTGTGGTCCCCTGGCAAAAACAAATTTCTGAAGTTTTGACCGCGCACTGATTCTGAAACAGACCTAACTCAGGTGCCTGTTGTCATGCTGTTAGGGTTGTTTCAGTATGGGCGCTTTCAATGCCCCTGCCAAAGCAGGTGCAGGTGGATCATTCAGTGTTCACACCCCTCCTCACACTTGCGTCTCCTACCCCCAAACCCCTCTCTGATTTTACACCTATGTTGACCAAACACGTCTTACCCGCAAGAAGACGTGTGTGCACCCAGGAGGAGAAATTCCAAGCAGCGACAGATTGGCATGATGAGGTGGTCAGGAGTAGCAAGGGAAAATTGGATAAGTTAGTATGTTTTTCATTGCTGTCTGTGTATATAGGACATTGACTCACAATTATCCCCTTGTGATGCTGACAGGGAGCCCCTAGAAGCCCAATTTGCGCTGGGTGTCACTGGCAATAACACTCCCATCACTGGACCCGCCGGGCCCGCAGAGACCAGTGTGGAAGTCAAGGTTGAACCAGGAGACAAGGATGACGTGATGGAACCTTCAGACGACGATGACCCAATGGAACCTGTGTTGGAACCTTTACGTAAGTCAAAGTTAGTTTGGATTTCATTATGTCCTCAGAGTCTGATGTCAGCATTTCCAATTTAGATTACAATGAACCATTGCAAGGATATCCAAGTGATATTGATTACTTGACCCTCTAGTGTCTGATTGGCAAAGCATCCATGTGGGATTATCTTGCTTTTGCCGGGTTGGATGAAGAGCAGTGTGATGTGGTGGTTCCAATACTTAAGTCCAAATATGTAACCAATTGGGACATCTTTCTATTTTGTGATTATATGACTCAGGAGAAATTGTCAAGTTGGCAGATACCTTACGCCATATGTGTTCAAAATGTGCTCCATGGGGAGATTTTCTATTGTTACCTTCTTATGAAAGGGCACTGATCATGCCAACCTGAGTTAATGAAGTGTAGCAAATGCATTAGCAAACTGATCAGCTTGTCATAAAGAAACCCCTGGTGTTTATTTCAAAATACTTTGTTTGTCAAAGTTCTAAGTGGCCCTTGTAAAATAGCTGTGATTGACAAGTTGATTAGGATTATCTAACAAATAAATCAAGAGCAATAATGTGACACAAATTGGACATGGTCGCCTGACCAAATCCTCCTCCTGGCCTGGCCTACCCAAACTGAGAATCTGTATCCGCGGGACCGCTCCTCCTTCCATTTCAAAGTTTGTTTTTCCAGAACCTCAGACCACATCCAATCCCACAAGCCCATTTGTCTGGGTTCACTTGGGGAAATTCCAGACTGGTTGTCTCACGGTGCAATTTGCTCAAGTATTGGGCGGCACCATTGATAACAAAAGAATTGGTGTCCTTGTGCTGGATTGCCCACACCAAAGTCAAAGATGCTCGCCGTTCAATCCACTTGATGTGGTTCTTACGCACTGTGCACACTGAATCATGACAATTGTGCTGGACGTTCAACATACACTGAACGTCCTACACATGGAAATGTCATAAACAACCACACGTTAATTACAGTTTGGTAACTGGATTTAAAAATCAGAGAAACTCATGTTCACACTGTTCCAAAAGATCTCTTGCGTGACGAGAACCTCACACATCCCATAAAACACCAGATGTTGGCCTAGTTTGCAAAGTTTGAGAACCAAAACCATTTTGGAATCTGCCAGGCCTTTGGGTTGCCATATTGATTCCACCCTCGCAATCTCAGCTGACTCCTTCAGCTGTGTGTCAGTTTGCAAGGTATATATGAGCGAAATGCCTGTCAAACGTATTGACAACAAGGGTGGGTGGTAATCACCCACACAAAATTTTTACTTTTGACCTTTTGACCTTTTTACAAAGTGACCAATTGGAATCCTTTCAGCACCTGAAAATGCGGAGAAGTGGACAACAAGGCTGGAGGAGGTGTTTGAGGGTCACTCATGGCTACCCAATTCCTATCAGCAAGGCTCCAGTCTTTTTGTGGAATAGATAAGACACTTACCCCCAATGGACACGGCGTCCTGTCTGCCTAGCAAAGAATCCAGCCCCATGACCTGGTAGAGTTCCAGAATCGATTGCAACAAGGTTTGCAATTTGGCCCAAAGACTTGAGTTTCTAGGTTGTGATCAAAAAAAGAGCACCCAGATACTAACAATCTCAACATCAGGCAAGTGTTGAAACTATTTGCGATATCTTGACCTGGTCTGTGACCATTAGAGTGTGTTGAGGTGTGTTGCACTACACCGTTGAAAGATTTGAACTTTTCGGTTGCAAAAAGTGATGCCGGGCCAAACCTTCAGATTGAATCTTGCAGGTGAACCAGCATATGGAATTTGGGTTTGTTCACCCAACGCGCGTTGAGGGAGAAGAGTTTGCTGAGGAACCTACTGATGTGGATATCTAACTCTGCAAGGTACTTCTTCATGTCGGGGATATCGGTCTGGAATATGTATGAGCTGAGGCAGCATAGTGATATCCACATTTCCCTCTTGTCTTCCGTGATATGTTCAAATAAAACAAAAGGTATCATCTGCAAAACCATGCGGAATTCCTTACCCACCATGCTTTGATAATACAAGATAAACACATTTGGCTGTATTGGCGGCACCTTCAAGCCTTTGGTATTGACTGATCGCCATTTTCCGGAGATATTGTTGTACAATTTTGACCCTGGTTTTGTGTTGCCAATTTCCTTCATGCAATCACGAAATAAATACTTTTCATTGCCCAACAACACAATATGGAGTACCTCCACCAGTGTATCGGCATGACCATCAAAGCCTGGCATGATTGTCAAAGAAGTCAGTTTTCTAGTAATGTGCTACAATCTAATGAACATACCATTGAGCCTCAAAAAAGGATTGAATAAATGTTCCCCGTATTTCTCATTCAACTCCTGACACAATTTGTTGAACTCAGCTGGCGGAAGACTCTCATGAGCAACATTGATGGTCTTGCCAAAGTATTTGTTGAGGGTGTCTATAACACCGAAATCGCGGGTTAATGTTTCCACACAAGTTTTCTGGTGGCGCTTTTGGCCGGTCTCCCATAGAAACTTGGTTTGCTGCCTGGTGAGATCCCAATTGCGGGACTGGGGTAGACACTGCACCAAAGCGTCAGCAATATGCAGATAAGGATAATGATTAGTGAATCATACCTTATGACCATGTGCGTTGAGGCCCATGAAGGCGCGCACAAATTCCTCAGTCTCTTTTTCAGCCATTTTGGAAGCTGACAAATCACACATGCGACATGGGGTCAATGTGTTTGTGGGATCGAGGGTGTTTGTTAATTCAGCATGCATGGGAGAGTCCCCAAGGTGGCACAGTGGCACAGGGATTACCAACACCTCTTTGCCAAGTGTCTGGTCATAAGCGACAAAACCATTTTGACCGTGTTCACTGTCAGTTGAGAGCAAAGGATTAATGCACACGTTTATCATGAAACATTTGTAGTAAGACTTACTTTATGTGGTCAACAATATGGTTGAATAATTCCAGTGCGCTTGCACAGTTGGAAGTTGCAAGGAAATGTACATTATATTCCTGATTTGATAATGCCGGCAGTAATCCAGCCAATGTAAAGTAAACACACATGTGCTTATTCCATTTTTTCAACATGTTACCCGGCGTGTCATCTGAGTATAAGGATAGAGGCACATGCCGGATAACTTTACCTCCAGCCTTGGCTCTCCAGCTATTCTCAACGGTGTGCAATGGGTGAGTCAGATCATTGGGATCTGTAGGAAATTGTGAGGTCAGTTCAAATTGCCAAAGTGACAAAATATTTATGAACCGGTGTACTGACAATACATGTAATCTCCACATAGTTCTAGCCAAACTCCTCTTGCAAGCTCAATCTCCGCCAGGCTTTTACGGATGTCGGTGCACTTGATCATGATCATGCTTTCGGAGTCAAATGCCGGTTCTTCGGGGATGAGGATCTTGAAAAGTTGTGGTTGATGTGGATCCGGAATGACCCAAGCTGGGAGACACTTTGCCATTAGGCATTGGTCTTGCTGGTAGAAGAACACTGGGACCACGAGCTTCTGTGTTCAAAGTTGCACCGGCTTGTATATGTAGTAGTGACATTGGTTTTTGGTGATCATCTGGACCTGTAGTTGAGGAGAATAGAGCTCACGCCACTTCTTACACTGCAATAACCGGTTTGTAGCGCCATTGATAGTGAGTTCTGGTACATACACCATATGAGGGCTGACCGAGGGGTTTGCTAGCTCCTGCAAAGTTACCATCAGAACTTGATCATACCACATTTCAGTCATAAGGTCATTACTTTGACCCACATTCATGATGATGACCTTGATGTCCAACCCAAAGAGTGGGTTGCCACAAGGGCTGGTGTGTTCCCGAATAACTAGCCCCAAATTTTTCTTGACATATTTGACCACCACCCTCAAGGTACTCCAATCCGGAAGGTTGATTCCAAGAATGTGTAGGATCGATTGTATTTGCTGGTATTGGGTGTGTGAGAGAAGATTACAAGTTGATCCAATCATCAACAACACTGTGACATGCTGCGATCATCAAAATGTCAGTGTTTTGGGGCAGGGTATGGGCATAAAATGGGTGGCTCTGACCTCGATTTTTTTGAACGGATACCACTCGTTGGCGTCTTCAACCCTGACATTTGCAATATCTTCTTCAAGGGCTGCTTCATCCAGCTTCTCGTTGTCATTGTCATCTTCATTGGCAAGTGCTTCAAAGGCTGCATGCAGCCTGTCATATCCCATTCTGCTGTCTGAGCCTCCAGAATTGGCATTGTCGTGACCCCAGCCAAGGTCAAATGGGTTGGCATTATCAAGTTCAAGACCACAGAGCAGGGTCAGGGGTGACAGAGGAGGGGAAGGTGGATCAGTGTTATCCAAGGGGTCTCGAGAGAAATCGAAGAAGTGGTTGAGATTGTCCAACATTGGCAAGGTTGATTGTTGTCTAGCGTTTCCGAGTTGCTGACGGTGAGCCTGATCCGCCTCATGTTGTGCGATGTAAGCTTGTACTGTGTCCAGATGGGACTTGGAAGACGCATGAGGATAAATTGTCTTCATGCTGTGTCCACCTTTGCACACATTGCATTGGTATCTTGTTGGGCCATGACGTTGCGGGTGCAATGACATATCTGAAGAACAATTATGTCAGTACCAATTCAAAGTGTGTTCTGAGTGGAAAGTGAGAATTTGTACTTACATTGAGGGAGTGGTGGTGGTGCTCCTCACGTGGTGATTGCAAATCGTTGACTTGTGCAAAAATCAAAAACTGGCTTGGGGGAATCACTCAGGTTTCTGCCCAGGGCCGGTGCAGGTCGTCCACTATGTCTGATGGTCAAGCTCCTCCATCAGGCGGTCTGCGCTGGCGGACCGTAGTTGGCCTGTGTGATGCTGGCCCGCGGGCTGCTGAGGTCAGGCTCAATGGCGCTCTATGGACCTGACCATTCTGGGATCACAGTCTTGCAAGTTTCTGACTCAAAGTCCCCTGTGGTGTATTGGTACTTAGGTTAGTAATGATGATACAGAAATGGAAAACATAACAAGAACAACAACAACGTAAACACTACACATGTCATATAATTAGTAAATGATATATGGAACAAAATATTACATCAATTTCTGAATTATTGAATATGCAATATGTAAAGAAAAGAAATCAAACTTCAAATTCATTCAAGAATTCACTCCTGATCCCATCAAATGAGTGTGAAAACCACTGCTTGTCAATCAACAAATTCCTTGAAGTAAATCTTGACTACCTCAAGAATCATTATAATAAAACAGTGAGTTGGTTTTGCACAACATAAGATGAGACCTCTTTCACACTCTGAGGAGCTGAATTGTCTCTTGGAATTGTGGCTAGCTTATTTTATATCAAATAATATCTCCATAGTGCATAGTGAATAGCGGTGACATTTCATGTCATCCGACTAACATACACTCGGAACCAATACAGCTACACAAACTAATGCAAATCATCAAAGTGCATTCAGGCCGCAAGATTATCTTCTAGCTCGACAAAACACCATCACAGGGGATCCAATGCAAGGCTTCCTGAGCTATGCCCAAGACAATTTGAGTGAAAATCCAGCAAGGCGCTCGGCACAAGCAGTGACAAATGCCTTGCAAGCTGGGGTGTGTAATATGGTCAACTCAATCCGGACTGAAAAAGCCGCATGTCAATCATCACGGTTTTGTTGGGGTTCACAAAACGTGTTGTTGACGTGGAAAAATGGGGAGGTTACTGAAGAGAAATAAGTTTTAATACAGTCGTTTTCAAAAAGCTTCCCGAAATTTGCCCGCAAAACTCGAGCAATTTGGCGGTGAATTAGCGGCAAGCTTTTTGAAAACGACTGTATGTGTCAGAGCCTGAGGTTCATGTACGTGCAAGTGATAAATCAGCCCAGAAACTCTGACCTGCAAAGATGCTCTTCTCTTTGATACACCCCCCAAAGGTTTGCCAGCCTGCCTCTTCACACTAGAACTTACTGCCTGCTGAACTTTGAGAAGCCGCACCTTGTGACCTTGCTCCACCATTGGCTTGCCCGCGTCTTCTCTGGCAATCAAAAATCACCGTGCAGTTGCTTGGTCTTTGTGTACATTTGCGCCTTTGTTCGTTGAAATCACTACTTGTTGGTTCATGGCTAGAGCCTACAAACCTTACTTTGCCATCTATAAGTCTACCTGAGAACGTTTCAAGTGTGGGGCAGTTCAAGTGATGGAAGGCGTCTGAGTTCTGCAGGCTGATAATGATATATAAACGCTGTCATTCAACCTCAACACATACGTCGGCACATTCTCGGATCCCCACTTCCGTTGGCACTTCCATGGATCCGCTTTCGGAACCTTGAGGGTGACTGGTCGGTGAGGCCGAGAGGGCCCATGCTTCAAGCAGGTATGATTATCGCATCCACCTCGTTGTTTGTACAGTCCAGCTCCTTCCGGATGGTTAATGAACACATGAGGCCGCATTAGATTCCATTTATGTAAATCTATTCAGAATGACTCGCCAGGTACACCAATAGTATTAGGAAGCTGGGCATCCCCTTGTTGGTTGAAATTTTCAAACTCCATGTCCCCTGCCGGCGCCTCGTTTTGTCAGTGTCCCCAGCTCTATGAGTAGTCCAATCACGGTAGTGTTTCAAGGTATAAATGTGCAGCTCATGTAACTCCACCGCGTATCAATCGCAAATATCATCTAGCCCCTTATAGCCTCACCGAGACCATGTCATCATCTATGAACACCTCAAATACCTTCCTATCCGAGAGCTTCTCACACGTGACCTTCCAAGAAGGATTGCCTTCACAATGTAAACCAATCGTGTTTCAAGCATTTTTTCCATACGTCCTAGTGCTGTGGCAGTGTGCATTACTTCACCCGACTTTTGCTCATTCAAATCTTGCTCGATTGATTCGAATCAGTCTAACACCTATCAACGTGATGTGGTCACTCACTCTTCCCTTTCGATATTGTATAACTCCACTCGAATCAAGCGCGCAGAAAAACATGGGAATGGCAGCAATGGGAATTATTCCGGCTGTGAAGAGCCTGGAGTGGGGATTCGCCTCCGGCGCGTATTACAAGAGACCCCTCAAAACTATTGATGGAGTACAAGGATGGGAGAAAGTCAAAGAGGACGAGATCTTCAAAAAGAAACAAGAGGATGAGCCTTGTAGTGCTTTTAAGTTGATCACCTGGACAATTCTCCAATTCACATCGTCAGTATTCCTTTGAACTTTATCATTTTCATGCAATCAACTAATGAAATTCCTTTCTTTCGTCGAAAGCATGCGTGGGTTGAACTTCACATGGGGACCAGCTGCTGTGGCTAATACCCATAGTACCACATATCTAGTCAAACGGCTACTTAAAAACATCGTTCCTATGAACATCGCGATTGTCTTCATCATTTTGACCCGTGATTCACCATTGAAAACACCAACTTCAGCTCTTTTATCGATCGGAGTTCCTGTGTTCCCCGGATTGTGGATCCTCGCAGAATCCATTTATTCATTCAGCTTTGGTGTATGGTTAGCTTGCGGTATGGATTGTCGTTTTACACTTTTCACACTGCTCTGTACGGCATTATACAAGGTTATGAGTTTTTTTCAATTTCCAGTAGAAATACTTGATTTATTTAATCCATCATACCTACCACCTTTATTTCATTCACCACAAAGTGCTAGCTCTGTTGCTGTATTCTGGGCTCAATCTTGGCATACAATGTGCAAGAGAACTTTTGTTGTGACTGGTGGGAAACCTTTGGTTTGGATTACAAAGAAATTAGGTGGTACTACAAAACTTCAAAGGCTAGCTGGATTGATGGGTATCTATCTTGCATCCGCTGTGATACATGAATATTGTTGAGTTCAAACTTTTCATTTCAAATACAGTTTTTTGAGATTTACTCAAGTTGAACATTTTTTGATATAATCCACAGTAGTGTTAGTGCTGGCTCAACCCCCACACTCTAATCCTCATACATTCACCTCATTACCTGGTTCTGCTATCTTTTTCATGCTTCAACCTCTTGGCGTACTGCTTGAACCAGAGATTATACCTTACATACCAAAACAGGTTGGAGGAGGAAAACTATGGACCATCCTCTTCTTAATTGCTACTGCTCATTCATTCAGAGAACAGTATTTGGGAGAAGGGAGGTTAAGTGGTCCTTTGAGACCACTTTCTCAATGGTCATTGTTATACACTTTATCACCAGTTAAAGGATAGATTTCATACTTCAAAATTTCATCTTGTTTCACTAATTTACTCAGATAGATCTTCTGACCAGCTTCAATCTGTTGTTAGAGTAGTGAAAAGATTGAATAAACTGTTAACCATTTTTGTATACAAATTCTCTTGTTTCTGTGTATTACTGATTTTACAGATTTTCTCGAAGCTCATCCGATTATATTTCTGTCTCTCTTCTCACTTTGAAATTTGTATGATCTCTACTTCAATTTTACACTTTGTTTTATTTTGAAGGGTCCTTTTATCATTTCACTTTCAATTCTTTTCCTTTGTTACAATTCTAAACACTCTATATTATTTATCTTTATCACTGCCAAAAATCATTATCTACCATACAAGCTATTCGTACCTACAGCTATTGAAGATCACCATAACATCAACAGTTGTGGTTGTGCTCAGAAGAGATAGAAGTGTTGTCTGAATCTCAAGTGAAGGTATTTGAATTGTCTCAAAACAAATGTCTATCCTTTTCATCTCAACAATTTATTGTGTTATTTACCTGTACTTGTAAATGATACCAGAGCAAAAAAGACTAAGATTTATGTTTCAAGCCTAAGACTGAGCTACATAACATAAACAATGGCACTGTTCAATTGACAAAGAGCACCATTGGCTCGCAGGCAAAACAATGTGAAGTGAGAACAAGTAACATCTACAATGCAACATCTTTTACAGGATCAATGGGAGCACTGCCAATATCTTGGGTTGAGAGATCTGAGGCATCATTGGAGGCAAATCCTTGGACAGACCTTTTCCGAGGTTTCCATCCAAGGGATTCTTTGGCACTGAGAATTACCTTGGATCAAAACCTCTGGAAGATTCTGTCCAAGGCTTGGCAATCAAGGATACCTTGGATAAATATGTATGTTGGTGGTGGTGATACAAATTGAAGTATGATGTGTATAGGCACCACCAACATATTTACCTCGGATTTTGTAATCCAAGGTCTCCTTGGATGCAAAACCTCGGCTAGAAGCTTCCCGAGGTTTTGATCCGAGGTAATTCTCAGGGCAGAAAAATACCTCGGGCAAAAACCTTGGACAAGGTCTGTCCAAGGATTTGCCTCCGATGATGCCTTGGATTTCTCAACCCAAGGCATCTATGCTGGCAGTGAGGTTTCTTTGGTGTTCTAATCTCTTAGTTGATCCTTACTTATTCATTACTCATCTTATAAAATGATGCTATCTTGTTAGTAATTAAATCAATGTGGATGCTGTGACCATCTTCTTGTGATGTTGTTGACATATAAAGAGATTGGCTCTTGTAACTTTTGTCCCCTTTTCTATTTTCCTTACTGATTTCTATTACATCACTTCTGAGAAGGTTTATCTTTCTCTCCATCAGTCACTGGGATTGTGATCTCTACCAGTTACTCACCAGTCTTCCCTCAGGTTATTATTGTTCACTTTTATGATTATGCTCTTGTTCTGTTGATATTATAATCTTACTGATTGGTATTATACATCCCTTCTGAGCAGGTTTCTCTGGTAGTCTCTGGCCTGCCAGTGACCAGGCCAGTGACCACAGGCCAGTTAACAGTAGCTGGGGGCTGTGAGTTGTCTGGCGTCTTTGAGTTTGACCACCCACTGCCAGCATTAGATAGGTTGGTGGAAACTAGGCTGGGACCATTATTTAAAGTATGTTGGGTCTTCAAATCATCTTGCATTGCACATATGAGTCACAAAGCATATGCTACATGTGTGCAAACATCTGACTAAATACTTAGCTATCAGATACATACAGGTCTGCTCAGTTATCTGCTCATATAGATAAGCAAATCACAAGTAATACATTCTGTAACTTTGCACAGATTTAGACACACACATATCAAAAGATTAGCTGTGTTGAAACCTAAACCACTTGGAACAAAAACCTGGTACACCTAGTTGTGTTTTTGGTAGGAACTTTGTGTATCTATTGACAGTTTTGGACAGTTTTCAGCCAAAAATTGACCAGGTGTACTGGGTTTGTGTGCAACCGGGTTAGGTTTGAACATGGCTATTGACTACATATATCACATTGGCTACTCTGGAAATATCCATGGAGCTGTTTAACAGTAGCAGAATGGGAATATGGTCCCTAGGACCTATATTCTCATCTGGTAACTGCTTTAATGCTGGCAGTGACCAAATGCATGCCCTGCAGATATCTTGGCGTACCCCAGTCAGTTAGGGGCACCATGGTAGCGGAGGTGGCCATCTTGGCTTGCTTTGCAGTGAATAAAGGGGTAGTATGAGTGAGGCAGTGCTTGATACTTTGCCACTTGAACCCAGGGGTCTTCTTTGGGGGAATTTCCTGAGTGACTCTGGCTGTGCCAATGACCTGGACCAAAGTAAACCAAATAATTAACATCTTGAAAATGTGTAATTCATAAGAAAGAACAAATGAAACAAAGATAGAAGAAACATACCAATACTTTAGCCCAAAACAATCATATGATAAAATGATAAGTTTGTAATCAACAAGTTGTCCTTGCCGTTGACAACACAATAACCTTTGGCAGTGCTGCTGACCTTTATCTTGTGGTGGCAGACAAACTTGTCCAGGACCATTTTGTGTCTGGGGACAGGATTGGAACATGCATGCTTGTCATGGTCAGCGGGTTGCCCTTCCTTGACTATGTTGATGGCTGTCAAGACCACCTGAACTAAAGATCACTCCTAACAGAAAGGAACCAGACAGTTAGCCAAAGGTAAAACAAGAAAAAGTAAGAGAAATATTTACATCAGCCTCCTGTTGGGCTGCTTTTGCGGGATGTTCCAATGATACATTAAACCCAGCTTCTTGACTGGGGTTATTGCCAACCACTTTGAAGAAAATCTTGAAATGTTCATCAAGGGTGACCACACAACCTTCAACTTTGCCATATGCACTGTGGGAAAAGACATAGACACTGACAGAAAGTTGTTTGTTGGCATCAGCAGTTCTGAACAAGGCACTCATACCAACGCGCAAACCCCGCCATTGTAAACTGGGGAAGCGCAGCGATGGCGCGGGGGTCCCGCCGCGCACCCAGTCCCCTGGAGGCGCACTGGGGTGAAACTGCGCCGAGGCCCAGTTTTTACAGGGGTCCGACCCGCCACTGCCTCATTGACGGGACCCCAGCAGGAACCCTGGGTCCCAGTTGGGGTA